ATGTATGATAATTGTCACTTTTTCATGAGATTTTCCCTGACCAACTGGTTTAAACTTGTAACCCCATGCCCCACTGTGTATCTTTTACTTCTGATTCATAGCTTTTACACAGTCTGATCTACTGTATATTTATTTATTTTGTTTGTTGTCTCTCCTTTGTATCCACAAGAAAATAAATGAAGACAGAGACTTTTTATTTCATTCAGTGTTGCATAACCAGCTCCAGAAAAATGCTTTGCATAATGTAGGTGCTTAATAGAAAATTGAATGAACCAACAAACTGCAAGTAGATTTCTGTTTTGTAGCTTTGATAACCTGATAATAAGTACATCTGAGAAATGGGGTACATCAGTAACTTATTCTTCTTGGCTCCGTAGAGAATGTAAAACAGTGCTGTGATCCATAAACTTAAAATGGATTGCTACTCCTGGTGCTTTCAGAACATTTTTAAACCCCCAGCTGCAGTGAAAATTCAACGTGGAATTTTTGTTTCCTTTGGTTTCCATAAGGTTTTGAACTTAATGGTTGTCTTTGGATACAAGCATTTTTCATATCTCCTACCTCCCTTATTTATAAACCTTTATTATTCATGGATAATGAATAATATATTTTCTATATTTGCATCACATAGTAGGAGATGGTGTGGCATTGGCCTTAAGAACAATAGGTTTGGATTCACTTTGCCTGGTTTGAAGCCTGGCTCTGCTACTAATGAATTCTGGACTTTGAGCAACCTAGCCTCTATGAGGCTCAGTTTATTCATTTGTAAAATTGAAGAATCCTTGTTGGTAAGTTGGTTGTGAGCACTAAACAAAATAATGTATGTAAGCACCTAATCTAGTACCATGTACAATCCAAGTACTTGGTTAATGAGCTGTATGCTGCGTGATAAAACTATAATCTCACAAAAGTCTATGCTGGTATATACTGTGGGGCATTGTGGCAGAGAATACAGAGCAATGGTTAAAAGCTCTGGCTGTGGAGTCCAAAGGGCACATGTTCAAATTATAACTTCCTTATCAACTCTATGATATTAGGCAGGTTATTTGACCTTTCTGAAGCTTAATGTCCTCATCTGAATTCAGAAATGCTAGCAGTAACTCATTTGGGGTTTTATGAGGGTTGTGTATGACAAATTAGGGAAACCTCTTAGCATATTTGTGCAATCATTGTCAACTATTATTAGCTTTAGCATTAACATTTTACAGTTATATGCTTGTTAAACAAAAAGAACATTTAAAGACTAATGATAGATTGTCAAGTATGAATTTTTAATGACAATTTTTTTTTGGGGGGGAAGCACCTAATACTATTTAAACTACTCCTTTTAAAAAGTTACCTTTGTCATTTTTCTTGATCTTGTTTTCTTTCTTTTTTTAATATTTATTTTCAGTTGTAGTTGGACACAATACCTTTATTTCACTTATTTTTTTATGTGGTGCTGAGGATCGAACTTAGGGTCTCACATAAGTGAGGCAAGTGCTCTACCACTGAGCCACAATCCCAGCCCCTTGATCTTGTTTTCTTAAATTGTATTCCTAATTGAGATAGTGGGCTTCCTCATCACATTCCCTGTAATGCAGAAAGGAAGGTGAATCAGGTAATGCTGGACAGATGTTTGTTTCGTTGTTTTGTTTTTCTTTTAAGGTTTAAGAAAGCATTTCTTTTGTACACCTAGAAAATACATATTAATATGTACATACATATGGTTCTATAGAGCAGGCAACCATATTTGAATATATGAAGCTTGTCTTTTGATAAGAGACAAGCAGATTTTTAAAACATGCCAATGATGTTTTATTTAAAAAATCATATTTACCTTTGTATTTAGTTATCTACCTTTGGCAACATATTACTGTAAATTTTGTAGCTAAAAACCAACATTTATTATCACCCAGCATCTATGGGTCAGAAATTTGGCAGTGGGTCTCATGAAGTTCTAGCCAAGGGATCAGCCATTGACCATAGTCATATGAAGGGTTGATTGAGGATGGAGGATTAGCTTTCAAGATGGTTCTGGGCAGAAGGCCTCATTTCTGTACAAGTTGTTGGAAATTCCCATGGGCCTCTTTCAGTGTTATGATGTCATGGCAAACTGGTTTCATTAAGAAATGATCCAAGAGAAAGAGCAGGAAGAAGCTTCAAGGACTTTTATAACCTAGTCTCAGAAATCAGAAGCCATCCTTTCTGAGTGACTAAATCCAGCCTACCCTTCAAGAATGGAAGGAGTAGCAAAGAATTTTTGAACTTTAAAAAAAATTTGCTGTCATTATTTTAAATAATGCTGAATTTTATTTTATATTTACTCAGTGCCCTCTCTGTGGGTGTATCCACTGTCCTCAGTGGATAGATGTAATGCTACAAATAAAACAATTTACACTGATTTCAAGTGTACCCTTGTATTTATGGGATACATTTCTATAAATGAAATAACTGGATTATAGGTGTGAGTAATTTTAAGTTTTTGCCTAGACTTCATTGAGCAGATGATGTTTATTGTTTGACTAGAAATGCATGGGTGTTTCTTCAAAGTGTCAAACATAGTATGTATAAACATTTGGAAAATTTTAAGATATTAGTGTAATGAACAATTTGCCATCTCACAACTATTAGCACTCACCAAAGAGAGAAACAGAGAGATAATCTCTTGGATGGGCATTTTGATAACTCCTTTCCTTGTCAGTGATAATAAGGTTACTCTTTGCCTTATTAATTAATTTAATTATATCAAGTGTGGAAGACCATTAATCTTTATGGAATTTTGCAAGCAAGATCAATATTGTAAAATTTCTTATAAAGCCTTTGAGAATGTGAGGTAATGGAATCAGTCTAGGTAAGAAAGACTAGAGTTGGGGCAATTTATTTTAGAAAACAGAAGGCAATCTTTACTATAGAGAAGGGTAGTCCTCAGCTCCATTTCCTAAAGTAACAGTGAATTACATTGACTAACAGCAATTTCTTATTAATTTATGAGAAGCAAATCCTTTTGTCATTGAATCTGTGGGCAAAAATACTGAAGAAGACTGCTTCTTCCTGAGAAGAATATGGTAGGACACACTGATAGATTGGAGATGAAATAGAAGACGAACAGTGTCTAAGTTAGGGGGTCATAAATTAATTCCTGAGAGGAGAAGGAAGGGCAAGTTCTTCTTGAATAAAGGAATGTGTCTTGTAAATCTATTCAACCTGGGGAAGGAGTGGTGGGTGGGTAGGGAAGAAAGTAGGCCTTGAGTAAGCAAAATTGCTGCTCATGGATCTTCTTCTTAGCTCTGTGCACCTGAATGCCAGGTAAAGTATCAGCCACCTAACACGTGGGGCCATAAAGCATATAGCAGATAAGGAGATCATATCAGAACAAGTTGATAAGGACAGTGATTAACTGTATACATCCGCCACTCCTCTGTGTACTCCATTGAGTAGCATGAGAATTGAGCTCTCCTGATAATCACTTTCCAAAGCCTCTGCCTCTTAATACTCTCACACTGGGCATTAGGTACCATATGCATTTGGAAGGAAATATCTATTCAACTCACGGAAACAATTAAATGTTTTTATATTTTATATTTTTCTTTGAAAGTGAAAATCCTCCAAGATTGCTTAGAGGACCTTAAGAGGCAACTCATGGTTAAGATGATACATAAAGTGTTTGCAGTTCTAAAATTCTGGGTTAATCTCATCAGCTCTCATCTAAACTATGGTTTCTAAATGTTCTTCCCACTAAAAGGGACCACGACTCTTTACAGATGTTTGATTTCAGATTGGTGGGCTGGAAATGTACAAGATGAGCCTAGATGATTGTGTTGTGCAGAAAGGAAGAAAACTAACAAAGACTCTTAGGGTTATACCAACAGGGTTTAGGACCGACTTAAAGAGGCTGCTGCTGGACAAAGCTGTAAGATATTAGAATTAATATTATCAGTGGATTAGAGCAGATCAAATATGTTTAAATTCATGGTTTCATGAGGATGCTTAAAAACAAGTCATTGTTCCCCTTTACAAGATGCTAGGAAAACAACTCCTTATTTTGAAAGCCAGTAAATGAAGAATTCAACATGCCACCAGTCCCTTGTGAACTTCATCTTTATTACCAAATTATAGGGAAAATTTATGTTTATTGAAATATTCTAACAAATAAAGAATGAAAGAATTGCAGCATCTTTATGAACTGAATAATAGGGTAGACTTCTATTTATAGAAATATTTTATCTAATAAGCAAAGAAAGAATGAAAGAATTACAGCATCACAGGGAAAAACATCATCAAAAGAGAATCATCACTAGATTTTTTTTTATCTCCTGCTAGAAGATGCTATACCATCTATGTACCATTGCTACTAAACAATCAAACCTGAATCTGATCAAAACTTTATATCTAAAAGAGCAGAGAAACACATTAGCATTAATGCATATGCAATTAAAAATCCCAGATTGTGGGGAAAAACTACAGAACAAACCTTATTGACTAAAAATGACCGAGACATAAACCAATTGCAATGTATAAATCTTACTTGTATCTTTATGAGGATAAAACGAGCAGACTTTAACAGTTTATCAGACAATGAGGTGAATTTCAAAATTGACTATATATTTGATGACATTAAGGAATTCTTGCAAAATATTTCAAAAACATTTTAGGTGTGATCATAGTATTTTACTTGTCTTATAAAAGTTCTTATCTTTTAAATATTGAAATATTTTCAGATAAAATTTCTGAAATCTAGGATTTTCTTCAAAATAATCTAGAATTAGGGAGGCAAGTAAGTAGGAATAAAGACAAAATGAGACTGATTATGAATTGATGATTTTTAAAATTTAGTTGATGGGTACTTGGAGTTTTGTTATATTATTCATTATATACATTTGAGCTTTTCCTTTAACAAGCTGCTAGGTATGTATACAAATCTAAATTTGTTAAATCTAAAATTATAAATTTATAAATTACATGATAAAATTATAATTATAAAATTACTAAATCTAAAATTATTTTCATTCCTTTTATAGATGGCAAGAAATAAATTGAAAAAATTCACTACTTTGGAGATTATCCTTAGTGTTCTTCTGCTCGCAGTGTTCATCATCGCTGTTGTTTTAATTGTGCTTTTAGCAACAGGTTCTACGGAATCAAAAGGTAACAAGTAACTCTGGGCTTTCCCTCCATTTATTTCTCTTATCAAAGTAAAACCATCATCAATGGTAGGGAAGCAGTGCATTTGTATTCATTGGTGTGAGAGTGTGTGTGCATACATACATGTGTGCAGGTGTGGTATGTGTTTGGGGGAACATCTAGCTAATACTGTGGAAGCTCAATAGCTTTTCCTTACAGGCTTAAGTTCTGAAACCTTAATTTCCCAATTTAATTAGTGCATTGGGTTAAATTTCACAACTGACACTTAAAATATATTTGCTGAATTTTTTTGAAGAGTTCTGATTCCATTAGTGATAGTGAATAATATACTGTGTGAAAGGGGATCAAATAAGTATGTAATCAAAATATTTTATGACTGTTTGGTTCCTTAAAAAATTCTGCCCAAGTCATCTTAATAAAAGTTCATTACATTATTATATCCCCAAAGATGGTCTGGATTGTGCTGAACTATCCAGGATTTCCCATCTTGTTTATCTAGGAGCAACTTCTTAGGGCAATCAGGCAATGAAGGTCAACCCGTGGCTAGAGGAAAACCTTCTCTGTCTCCTGCCTCACCCCCAGCTATAGAAATTTCTACTTTTCATGGAATACTAGACTGGATAGAGTTTGTTTAATTCTATGAATCTGAAAGTGTAACTAAAACCCTTATGCCGAAATTGGTTCAAATATGGAGTTCATTTAATCCACCACATTTGAATTGGAGATCCTAGTGAAAAGAAAACAATGAAAAACAGCATTGTTGTGTCTTAATGTCATTATTAATTTATTGCAGATTGCCTCAAAGAAAGCTAATTTCTTTATTTTAGAATGCAATAAAAGTGTCTTTTCTATTACCTGTCTTTTAATGTGAGATCAAAGGTTTCAGCCCTGACATAGGGTCTAGCTGCCAGTTTCTAGATTGGTGGATTCCCCTTACATTTTTTTTCCCATACAATACTTTGTATTTACAGGAGACTGGCATTGCTCAGATGTGTTCTCTGAATTGAGGTGGACGATTATCATGGAACTGAACATGTTCAGTGTGTACCAGCTACTGGGGATAGGAATAGAGCAGACTTTCCTGTAAAGGACCAGATAGTAAATATTTTAGATTTTGTGGGCCATGCCATCTCTATCATTATTACTCAGTGCTGCCATTGTAGCCTAAAAGCAGCTATAAACAAATGAGTGTGACAGTTTCAGCAATACTTCATTCAAAAAACCTGATTTGGTCTGCAGGCTATAGTTTGCTGACCCTTAGACTAAAGGGAAGTTGGTTCCTACTTTTATGAACTTCAGATCTAATGGTGTAGTTCTTTGTTTTGCATATACTCTCTTGTAGGGGAGGGGCAGAAGGGTAGAAGAAGATGATGCCAGCATAGTAGAGGTAAATAGAGTCAGCAAGAACAAAGGAAAGTTTTATAATGTGAAAATGCGTAACTGTTGAGGATACCAGAGTAAGTCCAGTCAGTAGTGGAATGAATACGATTGCAAGTATTGGGAACAGCGAGGCCTTTGAATGCTTGAATGTTTGTGATACTGCTATGTCTGTGTGATGGTCATTTTATGTTTGCTTTTGGGATAGCCCCAGATCCTGGGACCACAAGTATCACCCCTAATTCTACTGAATGCCCAGTGGTAACTGAATCTGAACGGATAAACTGCATCCCTGACCAGCCACCAACAAAGGTTTGACTCTTGGATTTTTAAATTTAAGAATATATACCACTGAATGGTTGTTTTTTTTTTTTTGAACTTTTTGTGGCTTGTCTCAGAGTCTCAGGTATATTAACTCTATATTCGTGTTTGTGTGACTTTATAGCTTCAGGAGAGGAAGAGCTGGAAAATTCCCTTGGATTGCCAGATTCAAATAAATGTACATGTAGCTCAGTTAAATTTGAATTTCAGAAAAACAACAAATAAGATTTTAGATAAGAATGTCACTTGTGAGATTTGAAACTTACTAGAAATACATTTACATTTCATCTGGCAAGAGTACTGATGATTAGTTCTCTTTGATTCCGTCACTGCATTTGTTCTTACCCTCTGTCTATTTCCCTTCTTTCTGAATTCCAAAGTGTTATCGAGTCTATAATAAAAGTCATACACCTACATTAAACATGATTTAAAATAAGGACAAAGTTTCAAGAGCTATGCTTTGGAAGGAAGACGGCAATTAATACAAGGGCGAAGATAATGCAGCACGTGGGCATTTATGTTAGTATTTCTTGATCACTGACTGAAGGGCACCTGATTATCATAATAAACTTGGCACACTCCCTGTCAGTTACTTTTTACTTTGAGAATAAAAATGATATCTGAATGAAAACCAAGTGCAGCCTTTTGAATGAAGTCCACTGATATGATGTGTCAGATGTGTGTCAGATACAGAATGCATCTGTATGGCACTCCCACACTCATCTCCATAGCCATCCCATTCTTAGTGGACTGCAGTAATCTGTGAAGTTCTAGGGAGTTACATTTTTGGTTTCTCTAAGGGGCTTTTATATTAAAATATATTTTTTCTTTCCTATTAGAGGATAAACCTCCACTAGTGGATTAATCTTCTTGGGAGAATGGGGTGAGGTAGAGGGGGGTATGATATGAGAGGTAAACACATCAAAATAGTCATCTTATTTATCTCAGGTAAAGGTGAGTGAGTGAAGACAGTGAGAAATGAGACCTCAGTCAAAAATCACGATACCTCCCCCCATATTTAAACACTTGGTGTTTTGCAGCCTACCTTCTTCTTCATTTTTTTTTTTGAATTCTTGTAGTTGTAGTGGACAGCATGTCTTTATTTGTTTATTTTTATGTGGTGCTGAGGATTGAACCCAATGTCTCACACGTGCTTGGCAAGCACTCATTTGTGTGTGTGTGTGTATGTGTGTGTGTATGTGTGTGAATGCACTCCAGGGGTCCTTTTCATGTGTCTCAGAAGAAAAGCTCATCCAGTTATCTAGATCTAGTCCTGATCTTTAGCTCTGGGCTGGCAGCTGGTTAGAGGGCATTATCACTGGATGCCTTTCTATCACACCTGAATTCATTATTTGGTTTTCCTTTTCTACTGTAAGGGTTCTGTTAGTAGTTCTGTTATGCTTCTGGTCTTTGAGTCAGAATCAACAGAACTTTTGCTTAGCTCTTCCCTTCAATTGCTAACTGGTGTTAGGAAAAGCAGTGAGCTGTAAAATCCCACAAATAGACTTATGTTATCCCTCTGACCAGTATTTCAAAACGGCCCTTCAATAATATTTTCCAGAATAAGTACTTCATTTTCATTCTCAACACATTATTAGATCATCGTATTCCAGTAGCCTCCTAGCATCTCTCTGAATTCCATTTCATTTATTCCATTTTGATTAAACATGATTAAAACTGTTCTCTTTAACATTCTACTTTGATTGCATTTCTACCCAAAACTCCTGTACTTATAGAAGTTCATTCTGCATACTGGGTCAAGTTCAAATACTTTGTTTTGTCCTCTAAGGTTCTCTTTATCCTTTTCTAGGCCTCTATAACTTCACTTAGAACACACACCCATGAAGATTTTAGACACAGGTTTCTACAATGATTTTAAATCTATTAGTTTTGAAAGTGCCAATCACTTTGAAAGATCATCCTTGATCTTTCATCTCTAATTTCAGAACTCTGAGTTAAAAGATTGCATTGATGGAAGAAAGCAGAAACATTTAGCTGAATGCCAGATACCTATCTCAGGAAGGAGATGGTAGATAATAATTTTAAGCACTTTGATTTTTTAAGTTTAGAATGTATTGTGAAAACATGGGAGTCCAGGTTTACATGCTTACAATAAACCTGTGTGCCCTAAGTAACCATTACAAAATGCTGAAAGCATTTTGCAATTAAGCATTTTCCATAGACAATAATGGTAATATTTATTACCATGATATTTGAGAGGTAAGGTTAACATATTTTCTTGCTCAGAAACTTTATTATCTTTTTGTAGTAAACACTTTCTAACTACTTATCAATTTTTTATTTGGCTTATAGTTTCTTTTTCCCCATTCCAGTTTCTTATCAATGTATTTAAAGGATTCAGTTTTATGATATACTAGTAAAGATGTTGCATTTTGCCAAGATCATTATGAGTCTCCACCCTTAAAATTACTTTGTGTTTACATATCATCAGTTAAGAGCCATTAACTGGTGCTAGGAAAAGCAGTGAGCTATAAAATCCCACAAATAGACTTATGTTTATGATTTGCTAGTTGTTGCTAGTGTAGACATTGAGTAAGAGCATGGTATGAAAACCAGAGTACCAGGTTTTTATCTTGGCTTTGCTGCTGAAATATCTATTACTTGATTCCTATCACATTTCCTTGCATACTGTCAAATGTGTATCAGTGATTGAGACAATGTGTGCTCAGATAAATTGTTCCTTAAGAAAATGACTACTAAACACTGTACTGAGTTCTGTGATTAAAAAAGATTTTAGAATTTAGTGACCTCTAAGGTCTTGGGAAATGTTCTCTGGAGATTGATCATATTCTAATTTGGGACACGTGAAAGTCTAAACCATGGAGAGGACAGAGTGACATATTTGTTTAAGTCTTGCTGCATCCTCACAGGGAAGAAGGCAGGAGGGGTCCACCTGTATAAGGGCCCCTAATCCCATTCACAGGGGAGGAGCCCTGGAGGCCTTACCACTTCTTAGTGGCCCCACCTCTTAGTATCATTGCCTTGGCAACTCCTGCATTTTGGAGGGGACACATTCAAACCATAGCACCAGCTTCATGAAAATTGCTCTAAGTCCTCTGTTTCTTACAGAAGAGTCTCTCTATTTTTTTTAACTTCTGAGAAACAAACTACTCCACACTTAGTGACTTAAAAAAACAATCAATTGATTATGTCCCACAATTTTATAGGTCAGAGACTTGGCAGGTTTTGGCAGTATAATTCTCATAAGAGGCATTGACTAGGATTACTTGGTTGTTTCAGTTGGTGGCTGATCTAGTTGGGATGTTTTCAAGATGGTTTCATCCACACGGTTGGCTCCTTGGCTATAAGGGGGACCACAGGCTCCTCTACCCTTCGACATAGTCTGAAATCTCTCCTGTTGGTCTCTCCAGCCTGGCAGTGAACTTCTTACATGATAGCTGAGGGCTACAAGGAAGGAGAGAGCTGCCAGCCTTCTTGAAGTAAAAGCCCAGAAGCAGTTTAGCATCACTTTTTCTGTACTAAGTTGATTAAATCAGTCACAGGCCAGCCCACATTTAATAAGAAGGGGTGCAGGTACCCCCTCTTGATGGGAAGAGAACTCGCAGCCATTTTTTTTAGAGAGAGAGAGAGAGAGACAGAGAGAGAGAATTTTAATATTTATTTTTTAGTTTTCAGCGGACACAACATCTTTGTTTTTGTATGTGGTGCTGAGGATCGAACCCAGGCCGCACGCATGCCAGGCGAGCGCACTACGCTTGAGCCACATCCCCAGCCCCTCGCAGCTATTTTATATAGCTACAGAGGAATGCTTATTTGGCTCAGAATAGGCCTTAATAACTGTAAAGATTGGTAAACTACTGAAAATACAGATCAGAGTGGGGTGGAGTAGCAGAGGGTGTGAAAATAAAGAAAACACAATATTGAAAGAGCTTTTCAAAGTGGAGTGGAGCCTTAAGGAAGCTGGACTTCCACAGGATTCTAGTTGTGATAAATTTCAGTCACTTTCAGCCTTTGACTGTAGGCACAAGGATCAGATAATTACATTGTGCCCAGCAACTCAATATGCATATCAAGAGATTATCAGGCTCCAGTTTTATGGACATTTTTACTCATATATATTCTTTTTTTATTTTATTTTTTAATTTCATATATATTCTTTTCTTAGTGTTCTGTCAATCACTTAACCCCTGTTCTCAACTCCAACAGAAACACCCCCACACCAAGAGATTTTTACAGTTTTTTAATAAAATGATACTGCTTGCTCACATAAGTTCCCACCTTTCCTGTCTTCCTCAAACACAGATTCATAGCTATCTGAATCTGTGCTTCCTGAACTGCAATTCCTAAAAGCCAAATTAAGTTTTTATAGTTGTAAAGTTTCTGAGTTTGAATTAACAAGATCAGAGTTCCAGAGTAAGATGTTTCTGCCACAAAGGGAAAGTACATTTAACATCATTTCTCTATGCTATTATGTTCGAAGATATTTTGGTGAAAATATGGTGTTTTTAGTCTGTCTTTTCATTTTATTAGCATGATTTTTATAGTTTTTTTGGTAATCCAGTATATGGAAGGTTGGAAAATAAGTTGGGACTCACAGAAAAGGAAGGAGGTCAAGAAAATAGATAATTGTTTTTCTCAGTGCTCTATTAGCACTGAACTCCTTTGAAGTAATAAATAACTTAAGATATCCAAGAATGTAGAACTATAATCCAGGTTAAGAGATAAAATAGAACCAGCAAAGATGAACTCCCCTGTATTCCCTTGCTGTATCCAGCTCCCTTCCCAGCTCCCTCTGCAGAGGTGACCACATTCCAAAGTTGAAATCCATCATGATTCCTTTGTACCATCACTATTTAAAAGATATACTTATAAGCAGTAGGTATACTCAATTTCTAAACAAAAATGCATGCTTTGCAATCTTTTTCACTTAGCATTGTAAGATTTATCCAAATTGATATGTATCTCTTTAGTTCATTTGTGTTCACTGTGAAACAGTGTATCAAAATCATCCTTTCTTTGGATAAAAGCAATTAGTTTTTCTCTAATGTGCTATGGTTGTAACGATGATATTATGACTAGTTCTGTAAAAATTTTTACTTACATGTGTCTGATTTGGGGTATATTGCTTCAAGTGTACTAGATATTTTCAAATTAATCTCTAAAGTGACTATAATTTACCGTCTTACTACAGTCTCTGCATTCCTAAGAACATTGGAATTGACAGTCTTTTTAAACTTCGACACTTTAAGGTTATTAAATAGTATCCCTTTGTGACCTTAGTGATAATTTTCCTGAATGGGTGAACATCTTTCAGTTATTTCTGTGAATTTTTTCTTTGTTCTTAATTATGTATTGAAATGTTTATCTTTTTGATGTGTACAAGTTTTTTTATTTGTTCATTCATATTTTTTCTAAGTCTTATTTATATTACATATGTTGCAAACATCTACTTTGATGACGTTTTGATGAAGTGTTTTATTTTGAGAAAATGAAGCTCCTCAGGCTTTGTGGTTTTGTGATTTGCTATCTATGTATTCTAGTGGGATTAAATGCCTACAGGTGAAAAGGAAGAAGTTTCAAATTTAAAAAGAAAATAAAGGATGCAATATAACAATAATTGAATTATTTATTCTAAATTTGTCCTTCAAATTTTCTTGGATCTCTTCCTGGACAATGTTAAATCTCAAATAATGATGACTTGATGTCATCCTGTTCAGTCTTATATACTCTTTTCTTCTTGTCCCTTGTGTTGTTAGGACCTCTGATGTATTTTTAAACTGCAAGCACTAAAACATATGGGCCATGTAGGCTTTTTTTCCCCCCTGATTTGGAAAGGAATGCTTTTAACATGTCACCATTTATTATGATAATTATTATAGGTTTTTTTGTAGATTCCTATTATCAAATGAATGAAGTGACTTTTTAATCCTAGTTTGCTAAGAATTTTATCATGAATAGCTGATGAATTTAAAGGACTATATGACATACTTCATTTGATGATTTATGATGATGAATTACACAAGTTGGTTTTCTAATATTAAAGTTCTTTATTTCTGGTAGAAACTTTGTCATTATTTAATCTTGCTGATTTCTATTAATGTTGCATATGCTTTTTTTCATTTAGGCTTTGCATTTATGAACATGGATTTTCTTTTCTGTCTACTTTTCATTTCTTTTGTGGTTCTGGGGACTTTGGGTGTAAAATACTTGCTCCTTTTATTTCTTCTCTCTTTTAAATGTCAAGGAGGGTTGATTGGATTTTTAACAGTGACTTCAGGATCTGGTTTCTTTCCATCTGATCTTTGTGTTGATGCAAGAGCCTGTATACCATCATGCAGAACCCCCAGTGGATAAAAATGTACAAGAGCTGAAGTCCCTTATTTAAAATGGGTATAATATGCACATCCTCCTATATATTATAAATCATTTCTAGACTATTTACAATACCTTAATGCAGTGTAAATGTTATATAAAGAGTTGTTATACTGTGTTGTTTAGGGAGTAATTATAAGAAAAAAAGCCTACACATTTCAGGCACAATTAAAAAATACTTTTAATCTGATGTTTGTTAAATCCTTGGGTATGGAACCCATGGATATAGGGGGCTGACTATTATATAAAAAGTGAAATATCTACATTTTTGGTCTTCTTTGTCTATCAGTTACTGAGGGCAGTACCATAAAGATATTCTATTATGTGCTATCTCCCCCAGTTTTACCTTATGAGTTTGAAATATTTTTCTATATATTTTTTGAATTTTTTATTGTTAGTACATATCAAATTTGAGGTGTGAGATGATCCTGGTGGATTGAAATCATGCCATGACTCTGTCTCCCTAACAATGAATATTAACTCAATATCTATCTGCTATTAATGCCAATTTGTTACTTAGCATGCTTTTTATATGTGTGATCCCCTTTTACTTCCAGTGCTTTTTCAAACCTAAGTTTTGGATATAGCACCTATAAAAAACTTTTATCTAAATTTAGTTATTTAAATGTAATCTGATTATCTTTGTTTCAAAAGTATTTAAACCATGTGATAATTGACATGGCTTTCCCTCTTAGGTTTTATGCTTTCCATTTGGTCTTTTTTTTTTTTATGTCCTACTTCCTGCCCTGGAGTCTTCAAAAGCAGGTGTATTCTTTCCTTATTGTCTGAACAGAGGATTTCTGCCCCCATCCTCATTTCCTCCTCAGTACTGTATTGGTAGTTACACATTCTATATTGTTTTGGCAGTACCTGTTAAATTTTAATTCTCATACCCAACTAAAGGGGCATTTTATATCTTGGGTCTAATTTGCATTCATCTTATTCATGTCATCATTCTCACAGCTTCCCTCTAAAACCGTTTTCTTAGGTTTTACAAGTCCTATGGATATTGCTGTGCTTCTCCTGCTTCCCCTAATTGCTGTGTTTAATGGCAGGAGCTGGTGTTTTTGAGTTGGCCAAGAGAGGCTGTTTACTCTCCTTACTGCTTTGACCACTTTGCTCTTTGCCCTTTTCAGTTCAATGAAAAAGTATTAAGCTCTGGGGAGTGTGCAAAAAGCCATTCTGCTTAACACTACTCTCAGTGTCCTTTTCTTTTTCTGTATAATGACTTTGCATCTAAATGTGCTTTGAAAGGAAGGAACAAAATCATAACTGCTGATTAGTTCATAGTGAAAACTGATCTTACAGCAAGATAAGTCACAAACAGACCATTTTTTTGACCCTTAATACAAATTGAACATCCCTAATGCAGAAATCTAAAAACCCCAAATGCTCCAAAATCAAAATTTTTTTGAGCTCCAACGTGATACCACAAGTGAAAAATTCTACATTATGGAACCTTGTTTCATGCACAAAATTATTTTCAAAATTGTATAAAACTATCTTCAGGCTATGTATTTTGTAAGGTATACATGAAAAATGAATGAATTTTGTGTTTAGACTTGGATTCCATCCTGAAAATATGTCATTATGTGTATGCAAATATTCCAAAATTTGAAAATCTGAAATTCAAACCATTTCTGGTCCCAAGCATTTCAGATAAGGGATACACAACCTGAAATTGCTATTAATGTAAAAGTTAGTGTTTGATTAAACATAATTGCTCAAATAGCTCAACATAACTGTTTTTTCCCTTATCATTTTTAAAACATTGCTCTATCCTCTTAAAGGTGTGTGTAGTGGTATTCAACCCAGAATTCAGAAAAAAAAAAAAAGGAAAAGGACAGGGAGAAATTTAGTTTTGGTCTTGTCTTCTCAATAGCCAAGTACTTTCTGGTAGGTTATTTCATATCTGTGAACCTTTACCCTCTGGGCCTTGGGATCTTGATCTGTAAATGATATGGTAGGATGTACGAGTTAGCTACTATTGTGTAATAAATTATACCCAAACTTAATGACTTAACATAATAAGCCTGATTTTCTTGTAGTTTCTGTAATTGAAAATCTAGGTTTGGTTTAGCCAGGTGCCTCTGTCTCTGAGTCTCTTAGAAGACTGCAATCAAGGACTCTTCTGGAATTATGATGATCTTTGACAAGGTTGCTCATGTGATTGTTGTCAAGAGCTAGCTTCTTGGGGGTTGTTGAACTGAGAACCTCAGTTCTTTGCCATGTGGGCCTTTTTTATTATATGATGACTCCTTCCAGAGTTGAGTATTCCAACAAAGAAAGTGAAAGGGAGAAAACAAGACAGAAGTCACAATCTTTCTGTGATCTCTTCTATGAAGTGAATCCCGTTATTTTCTATTAGCTCCAAGTCCCTAGATCATCCCACATAGAAGACTAGAGATTTCTATAATGTGCTTTTTTCTTGTAATTACATTTGCTTCTTTCCCAAAATTAGTTGGTGTGAGAAAGAGATTATATTCATTTTACTCTCCACTTGACTTAGTCATTAATTGTGGCATAAGGCAGGCACTTTTTTAAAGGAAGAATTAGGATCTATTTGAGTGTAAGGAAAGATTACTTTCTGCCTTGGTAGGAGACAAGAGACCATAGATATGTCACATGTGTGGAATGCACACAAATATGCAACATATACATTTAGAAGTCAATGCAAATTTTGTTTGATTGAAGTTTTCTGAGTAAAATTCATTGCAGAGTATTTTTGATTTTAAAGGTCAAAGCTAATATAAATGAAGTGTTTGTAATTTTAGATTACTGGTGACAAAACAATATTATACTTTAGAATTTTAAAAATATTTATCAATTTTAATGTGATGAAAGACATGGAATGCATTGTGCTTCCTATACTCTTTCACAAGGAAAAATTCCTTGTGAATAGAAGCTACTGGGGATATAACATACATAAGTTCTCTAATGATTAGTTTCCTTATTTGTAAAATGAATTTATTGATGTCCTAACCCCAAATTAGGTGATTTACATTTTCTGAAATATAGTGTTCTACAACTAAATGGAGTTATTTTGACTCATCTCTTGTTTCAGGCTACATGTGACCTGCGTGGCTGCTGTTGGGAAGCTCAGGGAACCATAGGTATTCCTTGGTGCTACTATTCTAAGAATCATGGCTACCAAGTGCAGGGGGATCCTGTAAACACAAATGCAGGTAAGAGGCAGCAGCTCCAGACCTTCTGAAGGCTGGCTTTGTATTTCCCAGAGGAGCCCTGTGGCAGCACACAGGGGAATGCTGTGCTGCCACACCACCACATGTGACAGAAGGTGGCACTGCTCTTTTCAAGAATTAGACTTATTTTGACACCAAACAGCTATCACCCTCTGTCTTGTGAGTCAAGAAACCGTGTTCTATTCTAGCTTCACCTTGATGTACCTTTATGAACTTGTGTAATTGTCATAATCTTTTTGGTTCTCAAGTTTATCACTTTTAAAGTGGGCAATTTTAACTCAGCTTTGAGATTAATTTCAACTCTAGTCTTATTTTTTACAAAATGAAATGATTTACAATTTTATAAATATGTTACAAAAGTTACCTAGTCAATGTCAGTGCTCATGGGCTGATCATGCCCTCTTATTCCTCCAAACCCTAAAATGAAGATCATCACCATGAACATTGTGGGGGTAACAGTGGTGACTACTCTGGGCACGCTCCTAGCATGAAGGATAAGGCCTATCCCTCTTCCAGATGCTCTTGGTCTGATGGGCTTTTCTATAAGGCCTCAGCTGTCACCTGATTTTCTGTTCAATTAGGGAGATGACTTTAATGTACATGATCACCTATAATGGAATATGAAAATAACTGAGAAGGAATAATGAATATATGCTGAAAAGTAAAGAAAGAGTATCTGATCAATACAGAATGAGTCTGTTAGAATAAGAATTAAACCCTTGGGGGGTTTCAATCATATTTTGTAGAAGAGAGGCATAGGTTTTTGTACAAGTTAATAATAGTTCTTAACTTTGGGATCTGACCTAAGATAGTATGTATGTATGAATACCTTTGCCTTTTTTCTTCTTTGGCAAATAAAACATTTTAATCAGTCCCTTACCTTAAGCTTAATTTTTATTTGGCTGTTATTTGCAAATGTATAATGTCAGCTATGAAAACCTTTTCTCTCCTACATGTTAGGATTCACAGCCCAGTTGAAAACTCTGCCTTCTTCATCCCCATTTGGAAATGATGTTGACAACGTTCTTCTCACAGCCGAATACCAGACATCCAACCGTTTCCACTTTAAGGTTATAGTTTGTTTACTTTAAAAAAAATCTTTAAGAGGCTCTTTTTTCCCCACCTTATGACTATAGTTTTGACTAGGTAGAAAATTTTGCTAATGTAGGTACTTTTCTCTGTTGTCATTATTATTTAGTACTTGTATATTGAAGTCATCTATAGTCTTCCTTCTATGTGATAATTTCCTAAATAAGTATTACAGAGTTCATTGGTGCACTTTTGACTTTCATTTATTTGCCCTAGATACCATGTGAAATGTAGTAGCCAAAATCAAACCAAAACAAAATAAGAAAAAAGAATCAGAATTATCACAGCTTTGAATTTTCTAGCGATGAGCCATCTCTGCAGACTTGCACTATACAAGCCTAACTCATGCTCAATAGTTAATCATTTGAAGTTGGTAATGTAATGAATACATTCTTAGGCAAAATGCCAGTTCCTGGGAAGCATTGGTGTTGGTAGGGATAATTATATTTTGGAAAATCAGAAAGGTTTTGATTTTTGGCTTTCTTTCTATTCATCTCTCTGTATAGTTGACTGACCAAACCAAGGACAGGTATGAAGTGCCCCATGAACATGTACAACCCTTTAATAAAAATGCTGCTGCTTCCTTGAACTATGAAGTTGAGGTCTCTAAACAGCCATTTAGCATCAAAGTGACCAGAAGAAGCAACAATCGTGTTCTGTAAGTTTTGAACACCTATCTAGGGAAGATGATGAAGGGAGGTGTGTGGGCTGGGGGAAGGTGCACTTCAATAATATTCTTGAAGGTTGTGAGCCCACAATTGTGAATGGACTCTGCCTCCAAATGTATATATATATTTTCTCCCTTCTGTTTGCACCAGCACGTTTTCCCCCTCTGCATTTTTCCCTTCCTTTCCTGATCTATCTAACCATCTGCTCACCGGTAAATATTTACTAATCTGTGATCATAAAATATAGTGTTCTGGTCATGAGATCGGGTATCTGGGGGGCAAATATGAGAAGTGTGCCACATTGTAACTGCCCTAAAGGAATCTAGATGTCTTAGCATCCATGGTAAAACATCACACGGGGCAAATGGGACTGATTAAATAGAGATCTAAAAACCACTTTTTTAGCAGTTATGTTCTCTCCACTGCACTTGCCCAACCCATTCCCGTGTTTTCCACCTGTGTCTAGGTTTGACTCAAGCATCGGGCCCCTCCTGTTTGCGGATCAGTTCCTGCAGCTCTCCATCCGCCTGCCTAGTGCTAATGTGTATGGTCTGGGAGAACATGTGCACCAACAATACCGGCATGACATGAATTGGAAGACCTGGCCCATATTTACGAGGGACACAACCCCCAATAAGGTAAGCTTTCAGGATGGGCTCTTTTCATTGAGTATTGTAGCCTCATACTTGAAGGTCACTTCTAGAAGTACAGTGTAAGATTCTGGGCTTGAATTCTGGCTCTGGTACTTACTATTATGTGGTTCTGGGCAAGTTATTTATTTCTCTGTGTCTTCAGTTCCTCGTCTATAAAATGAAGGTAATGTATTTATCTCATAGGGTTGTCATGAGGATTAAATGAATCAAAACATATAAAGTATCTAGAAGAATGTCTGTCCCAGAGGAAGTGCTCAGTAACTGCCAACTACTTTACATTATATTTTTCCCTTTGAATTAACCAGTTGGGGACAAAATGTCATTAAAAGCTGTAGTCTGAATAATAGTTGATTATGATGTGCCTAATTTTAGGCTGACCTTTAAAAAATCACTGACTTACCACCCTTGTCAGAAAAGTAGGATAAAGTCCCAGCCAAAGCAATGTATCAATTATTTTTTTGTGAAAAGAATAATTGGCATAGGGGTCAAATCATTAATTGTTGCTACTATTTTTAAATTTTATTTTCATTTGTTTTTTTTTTGATTGTTAAAACTTGAAGCAGCATTGTTTTCTCATCTTAGAAATACTCTATGGTTCAGGACTTGGCTGAGTAAACAGAACTTTGTTAGGGTATGAACTAAGAAGCCTGGATGAAAGGAGATCCCAGCAATAATTTATTAAGCAGTTATTTTATATATTATTTATATATATATATCAAAATAATTCAGAAAAATAACAATAATTTACTTATTTAACAGACAAAAATGAGATTCAGAGAAGCCAGTTCAATAGCCAAAGTAAAACAATTTGCACTTAATAGATAAAGAATCTAGTCTGTACTATGTTTCACCTAAAATCCATGCTCATGGCTACCAAATACCCATCACAAAAGCAGAAAAGAGTGGCGTCAGGACAGCTGGTGATGATCACTTATTATGGAGCCTTAGATCTTTGCCACTCAAAGAGTGAAGCACAGGCAGCACCACGTGAGAGATATGGGCTCTCAGTCCCTCCCGCCATCTAGTGAATTAGAATCCCTTCGTAATTAAGGTGCCTGTGTAAGTCATATGTCCACCAAACTTTAAGAAACACTGTTCTAGAGCAATGATTCTTATAACTGACTACACATGGCAACCATCTGGCGAAATTAAAAAGTATAGAAATGTCTACTTCCATCCTAGGGTTTCCCTAGGGAGTCTGGCTTGATACCTCCTCTTCTGGAATCTAGAAAACTAGTCTAGATTAGAGCTCCATCTAGTTGCTGATTCATATAAAGACTTGTAGGACTTTTGCAGATGAGGTTAAGTCAGGTCAAGGTAAGCTTCTTTGAAAGGAGAGTTGTTTGGAATGATAGCTTCAGAATTCTTTCACCTAACAGGTAATCACAACCAGCACATACTTATTAAATGAGTGCTCATAGTTGGCTCATTGCATAAGAAAACTAGTTCACCTGAAAAACATCAACCAAATAGAGATCCTATATTTTAGAATTTATTTGCATCTTCATTAGCCATGAGTGTCCTCACATGATTAAGACTGATTTTTCTAAGCTAATCCAGCAATGTGATGTTTAGACTACTTGGTAGTAAATTTTGGATTTTAATTCTCTTTCTGCAGGATGGAAATAACTTGTATGGTGCTCAGACATTTTTCCTGTGCCTTGAAGATGCTAGTGGATTATCCTTTGGGGTGTTTCTGATGAACAGCAATGCCATGGGTAAAGGACTAAAGGGATAGTCATGAAAAAGCAAACATACAGAAGAACAGTTTTTAAGTCCTTTTCTTACAGCACTATGATAAAAGGAATGGGTCCCTTTAAGAGTGATTGAGCTATTGCTTAGGGCCTTATGTTCTCTAGTTGTTCTGTCTTTATCTCATTGACCTATTGACCACATAGTAGCCATGTATAAGGGATTATTCTCCTAGCTTCTCACTTCCCTGAATCTGGTTGCCTCCAGTGGATTATTTTCTGTTATAGAGTTAAGATAGCTAAGGGTTCTGTTATAGAGTTGAGATAGCTAAGGGTTACTTCCTTATAATTTTACTTTGAGACAATTTCTAAAAATTGGTTCTTCTTCCTCTTTAAATTTACATTTAGTAGACTCCAGTGGCAGCTCCAGTAGAATCACTGAAGGGTAAGAGGAGAGGTATCAATATCTCCCAGGGTTGAAGATGGACATAGGATATTGATCTCTACCCTCTTCTTAATTGAAGACCATTGGATTATATTAATGCTACTCAAAGTGTGGTCTGTAGATTGCTCACAAGCTGTTTCAGATCCTACAGTAAGATCAGTAAAGAAAATAATAGGAAGTACTGCTGTAGCATCCAAGTGCATGAATGAGCTTTTTGCATAATAATTCATTTTCATGTTCTTTTACAGAAGTATCAGTTTGCAGTGAAGTGAAAATTAAATTTTCAAAAAATATCTTATCCTTCACCACAGTTTGTTTGAGAAGCACTCTAAGTGATGTAAAATGATTCTAGAAAACCTGATAGCCTAAGAATAGGTTGAAAGAACACAAGGACTCTGCAGTTTTAGGTAGTTGAAGGAATCAGAAAACAAACCAAGTCAGACTTAGCGAAGCCACAAGATCCTAGGTATTCTGCCTGTGTTATTCCTGCAACCAGAGTATGTCAGTAGAGCTTGAGGTCTTTTGTCCCTACATAGAAACCAAGGCAAAAAAGCAGATTTCTAAGAATGGTGATAGGTGCTTAAAAGGATTTTGAATTTATGATGTAATCTGACTTTTTTCAGCTTGAATCTTGTTTGATATGAGATTCACTGAAGTTAGTACCTCAGTATGTCTATCTGGGTTATATTCTTACCATAAAGATGGAATATGGGTTAGGATAACATGTGGTTGTGAAATTCAGAAAGGGGAAATTTTCCTTCTACCCTCTTAGATTTAATTCTTAGATTTTAATTCCCAGATTTAATTCTGCTGAGACAGATCACCAAGGAAGAGGCAGTTTATTTACAAGTGCTTGCATATAGGAGTGCTTAGTGATGAGTAACTGAAAAGGATGTTTAGATCTTGGTGCTTATCTACCAACTTGTAAGGGAAGGGAAAAAAGATATTTATTCAGAAGTGAGTGACTGTTTGAAAGACAAATAGGCCCTTGGGGGAAATCAATGGGAGATGTAATTGTTTTATGACAATGTCTATTGGTGCTTATTGTTTCAAAGAAAATTAGAGCTGCTCCTAGGAAGGGAATTTATGACAATTAAGTTCTTTTGGAGGTGATGCTTTTAGGCAGATCAGGAATCTCAGTAGCAAATACCTTCAGTCCCAAATAATTATTATGCTCCAATGGCTTATTCTCTATGGTCAGGTAATGAGTGATGTAGATTCATCATCCCCCATGCCTTGCTGATTAATATGCTTTATATATATATATATATATTTTAAGGAAAAATTGAAGAAGGGTAGTAATTTCAGACCCCAAAGATTTAGAAAAAAGGGAAGATATCCTGGATGCAGCCCTGAGTTATCTAGATTAGCATCCTTTTTTTCATAGATAAGAAACTGAGGCTAAGCTAGAGGGGAATAGCTTGACCGAGACCTGGTTACTTTTTCATCAGAGCCTGGGTCTTAGCACAAGGAGGTAAGACACTAAGTCACCTCTTATTAAAGTCTGTCAGGGAACAAAAGCTTTGACTCCCATGCCATGTGGAGGTGGACTTTCAGAAAAAGAGTATGGCCCTTTGTTTGCAAAATGTGAGGCATTAAGATCACTATAGTAAAATTGAGATCCTTAGTGATACTCATGTCTAAATTTTGAACAAATTCTAATTTTTATTTCTTCTTTTCTAATCATTTTAGAGGTCACCCTCCAGCCTGCCCCAGCAATCACTTACCGTACCATTGGGGGCATTCTTGACTTCTATGTGTTCCTGGGAAACACACCAGAGCAAGTTGTTCAAGAATATCTAGAGGTAAACTTATGATGCTGTGACTGTGACAGGAAGCCTACATTGCAAGTATTCAAGAAAAGTAAATTTAATATGCAAGTGTGACCATAGAAATCTACTATCATGAATTTGTAATAACAAAAAGCAGATTTCATTAAAGAACAAATTTGAGACTTTAAAGTTTATATGCTAATTTGGATTATATAATTTTTAGGTTATAAAAAGGAGAAAATATAAAGATGCCCAAAACATGGCCTGTCCCTTAATGATTTTTAAAGGGGGTAGAAAAATATACTAATATGCTGACAGAAATGAAATCAGTGCATTGGAAAATTGGGTATGTTTTGTGCCTCAGAACTAATGCCTAGAGTCAGGTGGTCACTCACCTGTAGTCCTAGATACTCAGGAGGCTCAAGCAGGAGAATTGCTTGAAACCAAGAGTTCAGGGCTAACCCGAGCAATGTAGTGTGACCCTGTCTCAGGAAACAAAAGAACAAACCAATGCTCTGACAAAATTTTAATATGTAAGAATATTGCTAACCTACATCTTTCATATTTCATTCAGCTTATTGGACGGCCAGCTCTACCTTCATACTGGGCACTTGGATTCCACCTCAGCAGGTATGAGTATGGAACCCTAGAAAACATGAAAGAAGTCTGGAACAGAAACCGGGCAGCACAACTCCCTTATGTAAGTGAGGTTTTAAGTGATTCTCCAAAAATCAAGAAATTCCCTGGAGGAATGAATAAGAACAGCTCTTCATACTTTCTCTCCCTGAAGTTTTAGGGCTTTTTTTGTAATAAAAAGATTATTATATATTTAGAATACTAGACTTTTTGTTGGACAACCAGTTTTTCAAGGAGACCTAGTTTTTTTGTTTTGTTTTGTTTTTGTTTTTTTTGAGTGGGAGGAGTACTTAGAGACTACCATTATGGGTTAGGAGTTTTATCAGAAAAATTTTCTCATACATATGCACTGACTACAGCTTACATGATGTGTTTTAATTTTAGTTCTTAAATTAATTCTCTATCTTGGGTTATAATATTTTAATACTTCTCAGTATAGATTTTTTTTTTAACCATAGATATGTTCTTTCTTGGACTGTTTTGATTCAAAAGTTTCATGGCAGGGACTGACCATAAGAATGATATTGTGTCTTCAGAAGTTTCTCTAAGATTCTGGTATAAGCTTGATTCTTATCTCTATGGTCAGGTAATGAATGATGCAGATTCATCATCCCCCATGCCTTGCTGATTAATATGCTTTACATATATATTTTAAGGAAAAATTGAAGAAGGGTAGTAATTTCAGAACCCAAAGACTTAGACAAAAGGGAAGATATCCTGGATGCAGCACTGAGTTATCTAGATTAGCATCTTTTTTTCATAGATAAGAAACTGAGGCTAAGCTGGGGGTGGGAATAGCTTGACCGAGACCACATAGCCAGATCAAGACACAACTGACACTACGTAATTAAATATGATGGGTTTCTGCACCATCTGTTTCTGCATTCGTATTCTGACTGCTATTGAGTTGGCAGTAAGCAGAATTTGCCCTTCCATGTAATGTGGTCATTTTGTATTTGAAGCAGAGCTTCAAGAGACAGTTTTAAATTGAGTCTAAAAAAGTCCATAAATATAAAATATAAAAGAAAATGCTTGAAAGAATTGAGATTCAAAAAGCCTATGACTGGGCCAGGTCGTGGCTCAGTGGTAGGGTGCTTGCCTGGCATGCGTGAGGCACTGGGTTTGATCCCTGATACCACTTAAAAATAAATAAATAAATATATACATATAGAGGCCTATGACCAATAGGTGAAAACCGAAGATGAGAGTGCTTCCAGACATTTGGGTGGATGAACCCACTCTCCATTTTGGCCACAGCCCCCACTACTCCTTATTCTTCATCCCTTAGCAACTTTCTGCATGAGGGGATGAAGATTCAGGGAGGAATAACAGAGAAGTGTATAGGAAGAACTGAAGCAAAGGATCATAAGAACAATTGCTGAAATAATGAGAGCTACCATGTATTAAATTCTTTTGGCAGGTACAATTCTCAGTGCCATCTTTAGTTGTCTCAAAAATCTCATTTTATTGTTAGAATGGTATTTAAGTTCTTTGTATACCCTGGATATTGGTGCTCTATCTCATGTGTGAGGGGTAAATATTTGCTCCCAAGATATAGGTTCTCTATTCACCTCAGAGATTGTTTCTTTTGCTGAGAAGAAATGTTTACCCCTCATGCATCAGATAGAGCAATGATATCTAGGATATATAAAGAACTCAAATGCAAATCAAAACCACTCCAAGATTTCATCTCACTACAGTCAGAATGGCAGCTATTTTGAAGAAAAACAAAAATAAGTGTTGGCGAGGATGTGTGAAAAAAGGTACACTCATACACTGCTGGTGGGACTACAAATTGGTGCAGCCAATATGGAAAGCAGTATGGCGATTTCTTGGAAATCTTTTAACCAAGCTATCCCTTTCCTTGGTATATACCCAAAGGACTTAAAAACAGCATACTACAGGGACACAGCCACATCAATGTTTATAGCAGCACGATTCACAATAGCTAACAGTGGAACCAACCTAGATGCCCTTCAATACATGAATGGATAAAAAAATGTGGCATATATACATAATGGAATATTACTCAGCAATAAAAGAGAGTAAAATCATGGCATTTGCAGGAAAATGGATGGAATTAGAGAAGATAATGCTAAGTGAAATTAGCTAATCCCAAAAAACCAACTGTCAAATGTTTTCTCTAATATAAAGAGGCTGATTCATAGTGGGGTAGGAAGAGGGAGCATGGGATGAATAGACAAACTCTAGATAGGGAAGAGGGGTTGGAATGGAAGGGCGGTGGCATAGGATTAGAAATGATGGTGGAATGTGATGGACATTATTATCCAAAGTACAAGTATGAAGACATGAATTGGTGTGAATATACTTTGTATACAACCAGAGATATGAAAAATTGTGCTCTATATGTGTAATAAGAATTGTAATGCATTCCACTGTCATATATAAATAAAAGAATTTAATTATAAAAAGAGAATGCTATTTAAGATTATAAGCCCCATTTAATATCAGACAACCAGAGAAACTGACTTTCAAGCTCAAGTCTTTACCCTTATAATGGCTCTCTACTTTTGATGTCCTTCTTCTTATGTATATATAGTCATTTCCTTCTTAAGGATGCTAGGGAACGGCAGTATTGGACTCTTACTAGTGCATAGTGAAGTGAGATGTCAAAGGGAGCATGGAGACATGGAATTGAAAGCTATTAACTGAGTTAAATATATGTTTAAAGTTCTGCCCATTTTAAATGGGCAGAAAGATACAGTATATATATGTAATAAAATATTTGTATGCTTTGAATGGGGAAAGAGGTTTCAGAAGAGATGCAAAGGGAAAAGCCCAAAAAGTTTCTGGAAAAATTTTCTTCTCCCCCATACTACTCCCTTGGAGAAAACAACTGTGTCTTAGAGCAAGAGTAAATGTCATTCTGGATCCACTATTTTCACACAGGTGAATTAGAAAAGAATGACACCAAAGACTTAAAGTAGAAGAGAAGTAATACATAATTGGTAGTGTGATAAAATGAGAGAGAAGTGAAAGAAGAGACAGTTCCTTCCTCTTTTTATTTTGAAGTCAGGGTAAAATTTACTTTGATAGCCTCAGTATGTGTCATAAATGATGCCTTTAAGTTGATTGTAGAAGTGGGGTCAAGCCTTAGGGAAATAATGGGTCATTCATTTTTGAAATTGCTCTGGGAAAAAAAGCACTTAGATGCCAGGGACTAATTAAGACTGTTTAGAGCCCAGCACAGAGTTGGCATTTATCTTAAATAACACATTTATTTAATTTGAATGACCCATTTGAACAGGGAAATGCTCAGGTACTGAATTGTGTACTTTGTATTCTTTCAGGATGTTCAACATGGCGATATTGATTATATGGATGAGAGGAGGGACTTCACGTATGACCCAGTGGATTTTAACGGCTTCCCTGAGTTTGTTAAGGAGTTACACAATAACGGACAGAAATTTGTTATCATTGTGGTATATACAGCCTTTTTTTCCCCTCTGAAATCAGGGATTTACTCATTCTGATCATTACAACTCACTCTCCTCTTGGTCCCCAACTCCAAGTCTCCTTTCAGTGCCTTCAGTTTAAAGTTAGTTTCTCCACTGTGTTTTTCCCTTTAGGATCCAGCCATCTCCAACAACTCTTCCCAGAGCCATCCCTATGGCCCATATGACAGGGGCTCTGCTATGAAGATATGGGTGAATAGTTCAGATGGAGTGAATCCACTCATTGGGGAGGTAACTTAATGGGGAAGCTGGGGCTGGAAGAGGGCTATGGCAGTGTGTGTGTGTTGGGGCGGGGGTTGTTTTGTATATTTGAAGATAACTTGTAGATTCTGAGGAAAAACTTTTCTTTGCCCTTTCGTTCCCCAATATCTCCCAGCCAACCTAGTTCTTACATGCCTTCCCTAGCCTGGCCCCACTAAACAGTAGCTCACGCACTGAGTGTCCACTTCCACACCTCAGCTCTTCTCAATGCTGACCACAGTCTCCTTCTTCCTCTATCATGTCATTGACACTGCTCTGGAAAATGGCACTAGTTACCTTCTGTGTGGTAAATCCAATGGAAATGTTTCATGCTTTCTTACTCAATTTCTTTGTAGTATTTGATAAGTTTGACTGTTTTTTTCTCGAAATTTTATTTGCACTTGTTTCCCACAAAGGCATGATTTACCAGTTCACTTCTAATACCTCTGAGGACCCTTTCAGAGTATAGTGTCTGAGAAAAACGGGACAGGGAAGGAAGAGAGAAAAGTAAATGATATTAGAGTACATAAACTGTCAGTTGAAATTTATAGTGAACACTTCCCAATTTACTCTTCTTAGAATTGAGAGCAGAGAAAGTTGTAGGGAAGGCTGAACCATAGTTGAAGATCAGCAAGTTAAACAATACCCTTTTCCAATGGATTCACCATTTTTAAAAAACAAAATTTTCCTCAAGTGGCAATTCAATGGGGCCCTGGCATTTATTCTCAATATTCTGAGTTGTTCATCTTCCTAACTGAACTAGCCTGTGTCTGGGCACCTCCATCTCAATGATCATATTAGGAATTTCTAAATAAAGCTCTTTATTTTATTCTATACTCATTTACTTGTTGTTATCAGTGTTTCCCTTTTTTCTCTTGCAGGTATGGCCTGGTAAAACTGTGTTTCCTGATTATACCAATCCCAACTGTGCTGTTTGGTGGGCAAAGGAATTTGAGCTTTTCCACAGTGAAGTGGAGTTTGATGGAATCTGGATTGTGAGTTTTTAACACTTTAATTCTTAGGTGATGAATATTCAGGTAGTTGAATCTATGTCTACATCTTTTAGTCATGGGGCATAGGGAAAAGAGGAGTAATAGAAAACAAGTATGACAATAATTCCTAGTATCCCTTATTTTATGGTTAAAATAATCTTACCAAAACATGTTGCTTAGAATCAAAATTCTAAGCAGGAATTGTTTTGAATCTAGTTCTCCTTTTACAAATAAATAGGCTGATATTAAAATCAGCCTATTGGTCACATACCACTAAAATTATCATAAAATTCATGAATTTGTTCAATTGCCTGCTTTAGGCTCTTGCATTTGGACATGTTGGGCAAAGCGATCATAGCCAAAGTGTCTTGAGGCCTTGGTAAGGAGAAATATGTAGTATAATGTCAAATGACAACAATGCAACCCAGCCAATGTTCAGCAAAATTTGAAGAGTTCTTCCTAGAGCAACTTAGCAAGACCATGTCTCTAAATAAAATATTTTAAAAAGGGCTGGGAATATGGCTCAGTGGTTAAGCACCCCTTGGTTCAATCCCTGGTTATCGCTCCCCCCGCTCCAAAAAAAAATTAAAGAGCTCTAGAGTTGAAAATTTTTCTATTTATAAAAGAACTGTAGGAAATTCAAATAGTACAGGCAACTAAAAAGATGAAAGCAAAAAACCTATACAGTGATAGCCACCAAAGACAACTACCATAAAAAAATTTAGTATAATCTTTCCAGATCTTTAATTTTTACAGCTTTGGCACATGCACATAATGTCCCTCTCTCTATATATGTATCTGTTATATATGTGTATGTATTTATATTTTTGTTTATTCATAGTTATATTGGGAGGGACCTCAGGAATTTTTTTGAATCTAGCTTTCCTTAATAAGGAAACAAATTAGCTGATGTTAAAATAGGTCATATACCCCTAACATTGTCATAAAGTACATGGTTATATTTGGATATATAGAGGGTGTAAGTTGATATACATATGACATAATGTAAATTAAAAATTTTTACCTAGTATATTTGAGAATTGTTCACTTTGAGTAAATATAACATATATCATTTAAAAGGGATACTAAGAAACTTCTCTATGAAGTCTGTAGTGGCTAGAGAATATAGAAACAGCTATTTAATTCCATGTACATAAATACCCCCTTTAAAAAGGAAATATCTGGAATAAGTTCTTTGATTCTTTAAAAAAGTCACCATCAATATACTGTTATGGAAAATATTGCTTCTCTTAATAGTTTTTGTTCTTTGTCTTGAAGGATATGAATGAAGTCTCCAACTTTGTTGATGGTTCAGTTTCAGGATGTTCCACAAACAACCTCAATTATCCCCCCTTCACTCCAAGTGAGTCTTTGTGGTCAGCCTGATTAAAATGGAAATGCTTATTTAATAATTTAAATTCATAAGGAAGGGTCCGAACAACCTGGCAAGGGAGTTTGTACACAGGGAAAGAAAATGTGGGATAAAATATTAAGTTCAAGAAGACTGGGGAAGCAAATGAAAACACTCTATGCTTTCCTAAAGAGGAATGAATTCAAAAAGGGCAACTAATCTGTCTAGCTATAGTCCAAACCATTTCTAGGGGAAGGGCCAGACAGAATATGGCATAGAAGCCAGAGATCGGTGGTTAGCATATGTCAATCTCAAGTTGTGCACCCCACAATCTAGGGCTTACCAGAGAGAGACAAGTAGACTTTGTCCAAGGGAGGTTTTATCAGTGAATGTGTTGCTCCTGAGCTTAATTGAGCTTTGAGCAGCACTATCTCTCAGGGTGTAGCATTGGCATCACTGCATTGGTTATGGTTTGAAGAAAGCATAGACTCAAGAACACATTGAATCTTTATTGAGAAAGGAATGACATTACCCGTATTGTACCACCTTTTGATGATTTCAGTGAGGTGCAAAATTAGGAAGTTAGGGTGAGTAGATCAGAATCAAATGTCTAGGGGTTTGGATGGGAAGCCAGAGTTTATACTTCATTCTTTTGGTGATAGAAGCTATTTATCTCTTAGTTAGATGAAAGTATGATAGTCAAATGGTTTTAGAAGTATTAATCTGGTACTAATATGCAGTATAAATTAGATGGTAGATAGACCAAAAGCACATAAATCATTAGGAAAATATTGCAATAGTCAAGATGCAAAGGTAACTGGATCTGAACTAAAATGATGCAGTGAGAGTAGAGAATAGATACATGTATATGCATACAACCTACAGGGACATGTCCAACTAAGCTTCTTGTGACTGGATGACTTTGTTCTTTGCTTGTGTTTTTATTTTTCCTGTAATGTACAATTTACTTATAAAAATAAAAATTATTTTAAAAAAGAGAATAGATACTGAAAGCAAGATTGGAAATAATTTTTATAATATATGGTCAAGGTAAAGAAGAGTCAGAAACTAATCAGAAATTAATTGATTAGTTTGATCCATTAATTCTATTTTTGTACCATTTAACTTGGTTTAAAAATTTCCAATTAAACCTCCAGTCTGACAGATTTCTAGTTTCTTGTGCCTGCCTCTGATCAATTGAGAGCCTAGGTGAGTGGACGTATACGAATGGGTCTGCAAAATTTATTTATATATCAAAATAACTACCTCAGGGGGATAGCTTTCTGATAGTGAGAAAGCAGTATCATTGTTTAAAGAGTGAGCATAATAAAATCCTGCCCTGGGGAACTGCCTTTACAGGTTGTATGACAGTCAAAGAGTAGGAATGTGCATCTGTGGTTCTCACTGACTGATCACACTTTTGATTCAGGAGTCCTGGATGGGTATCTCTTCTCCAAAAGTCTCTGCATGGATGCAGTACAGCACTGGGGCAAGCAGTACGATGTCCACAACCTGTATGGCTACTCCATGGCGATCGCCACAGCAGAGTGAGACCATTATTGTGATGAAGTCACACATGATCAGATTATGAGTCTTCTACATGCTGGGCGACTCATGTGTAGTATTTGTTAAAAGGCCACATGATAAATAAATAAATATCATTATTGAATGAATGAAGAAACTGCCTAACACATGGGGAAGAAGGAATCAGACAAATAATTGTGGAATATATAAAATGAAAGAACAGTTGAATGAATGGAATATTAGAAGAAAAGAAAGCAAGAACTCAAGATCAAACAGCTGATACATTGCAAAAGCAAAACTTAGGCTCTTTTTTTTCTACAATTCCAAAGCCCTAGCTAACTTGTATATCAATGTGCTTTGGGATTTTAGATTTGGTTCAGCATCCTTCTGTGTTCTGTTTACTTTTATGTTGTATGAAGAAAAGTATTGAAAATTTATTTGACTTGCTATAACAGTAACAGAAGGAAAACAGACCCAAATCACATTCATTAGTCTCACAAAACTTTTAAATTACATGGACACACATAGATTTCTAATTTAAAAATATGGAAAATTTGTACTTGTATTTAGTTATAAAAGTACACACAGGCATATATAATTTAAATATTTTTTATTATTACAGAACTACTACTACAATCCTTCTTCTCAAAAGAAGTTTAACTTCCAAAAGACTATTTCTAAGTCCATTTTTGTGTATGTCTGAAGTCTCAATGATATGAAATATTAGTATTATACATCTATATAAAATTAAATTTACCATTTTTTTCTAGAAAAATTATATCCCTTTAGTTTCTAGGTTTTTCAAACTTGGTTTTAAAATTCTTGTAAATTATGGGGTTAATGATGTCCTCAAATACCTCAAAATGAAATATAACAAAATATGAACATACTTAATGGTACAGACTGTTCCCCAAGGCCACTCTAGCCCTATTAGGTGAGAATGAGATGAGAATAATGGGGTATTTGCTTTAAATATCCTTGTTATGTTGCTGTATCCCCTGGGCTGGGACAAATAAAGATCACAGTGATACCTAAAATCTCTCTCTCTTTCTAGAGCTGTCAAGACTGTGTTCCCTAATAAGAGAAGCCTCATTATAACCCGTTCTACCTTTGCGGGATCTGGCAAGTTTGCAGCACATTGGTTAGGAGACAATGCAGCCACCTGGAATGACCTTCAGTGGTCTATCCCTGGCATGCTTGAGTTCAACCTTTTTGGTATTCCAATGGTGAGTCCCTGTCTCAAGCTCTTTTATGAATCTCAATCTCTAGAAAACCCCATTCTAGAAAGTTTTGAAACCATAAACCTCCCTTCCCTGCCTGCTGTGGCCCAGGGATTTAATGTCTTGTGTGCATGTGATTCATCAACATGGCTCTAAAACCAGGACTTCCTTCCCTCTACTGATTTATGAAGTTAGGGAGAGAAAGCTTGATATCTCCTGGGCCATTTTTTTTTTCTATTAAAGTATAACATACACTCAGAAAAGTACACCGATCCTTCAGTCTACGGATGATCAGTGTCACAAACTGAACATGCTGGAGTTCTCAGCAACATATAACATTGACAGCACTTGAGAGGCTTTGGCATTTTTTATTTAAATTCAACATATTTATTGAGCTTCTGTTATGTTAAAGGTGCTGTGCTAAGTATGCATGATGAGTGTGGAGAGAAGCATAAATACAGTAAAGAAAGAACCTTCTCAAAGAGTTTATAATTTTATAAAATGATACATGTAAGCAAATGGTTATGACCAACCAAATGGTTACATGTGATGAGGGATCCTGAGAAAGATTTACTAACACTGATAAGATTGTGATGGAGTCAGAGGAGAAAGTCAAAAGAAACTTCACAGAAAAGATGGTGCTTGAGTTTAACCTTGAAAACTGACTAATGATGGAAGAAGCTTCAGAGAGATTGAGAACTAAATCCTGGAAAAAACAGTATAAGGGAGAGTATTTGATGTGACTAGGATTGTTGTGTAGAATTGGAATGGGAGATTATGCTGGAAAGGGAGATTTGAATTAGGCTTTGACAAGCTAATAGGATGAGAAACAAGAAGCTCCTGAAGATTTTTGAATTTGTGATCATAACAATCATGATCATAATAAGACTTTAGAAAAGTCTTAATAGTGTGGTAGAATAATAATTTTAGAGGTTTACTAGTTACAATTTATCAAAAAGCTGTTGTACCCACTTTAATAAAACAGGGAAACTGAGGCATAGAAAGCTTAGGTAACTGTGTCTATGTTAGCCAGTGTGAGTCAGTTCTGACCACACTACATCAGGCTGCTGAGTGGAAGTCTTAACCTAGTTCAGTTGGGAGGTCCTGGTAGCAGGGTCCCTGGAAGTGAGGTCTCCATGCTGACTGTGTCTTTACAGGTGGGTGCAGACATATGTGGCTTTGCATTGGATGCCCCTGAGGAGCTCTGCAGGCGGTGGATGCAGCTGGGAGCATTTTATCCATTTTCCAGAAATCACAATGGCCGAGAATACAAGGTGAGGCTTGCAAGAAGTATGATTGAAATAAAATTGGCATACATTGAGTGGATCTGTCCATATCCTTGACAAGGAGCCTGATGAATTAACTTCTTACCTGATACTTAGGCTAATTTGTACCAACATTTGCAATTAATCAGAACCTGTGCTGTCCCTTATAATGCCCATACTATCACAGCCTCTCTTATTTACTGCTGCTCTTATTTTTTTATTTTTTAATTTGTTCTTTCTAGATATACATGACAGTAGAGTGTATTTTGACATATTATACATACATAGAATAAGTATAACTTGCTCCAGTTAGGATCCCACTATTGTGGTTGTACATGATGTGTAGTTACACTGGTTGTGTATTCATATATAAAGACAGGAAAGTTATGTCCAATGCATTCTACTGTTTTTCCTGTTCCCATTTCCTCTCCCTTCCCTTTATTCCTTTTTGTCTAATCCAAAGTACTTCTATTCTTCCCAGACCCCCACCCTTTATTTTGAGTTAATATCTGCATATCAGAGAGAACATTCGGCCTTTGGTTTTCGGGGATTGACTTATTTTGCTTAGTATGATCGTCTCAAGTTTCACAATTTCATTTCTCTTTATGGCTGAGTGATATTCTTTGTGTATATATACCACATTTTCTTTATCCATTCATTTGTTGAAGGGTGCCTATGTTGGCTCCATAGTTTAGGTGTTGTGAATTGAGATATTATAAATATTGATGTGGCTGCTTCACTATAACATGCTGAATTTAAGTCCTTTAATAACTGGGTCAAATGGTGATTCTATTCCATTCTATTTTATGAGGAACCTCTGTTGTGTTAAAGGTGCTGTGCTAAGTATGCATGATGAGTGTGGAGAGAAGCAAAAATACAGTAAAGAAAGAACCTTCTCAAAAAGTTTATAATTTTATAAAATGAGACATGTAAGCAAATGGTTTCCATAGCGTTTGCACCAATTTGCAATCCCACCCTTTTCTAAACATTTATTGTTACTTGTAGTCTTGATAATTGCCATTCTGAATGGAGTGAGATAAAATCTCAGTGTAGTTTTAATTTGCATTTCTCTAATTGCTAGTGATATTGAACATTTTTTTCATTTATTTGTTGACCAGTTGTATTTCTTTTTCTGTGAAGTGTCTGTTCAGTTCTTTTGCCCATTTATTTATTGGGTTCTTTGATTTTTTTGGTGTTAAGTTTGTTTGAGTTCTTGTATATCCTGGAGATTAATGCAGTATCTGAGGTGGAGTTGGCAAAGATTTTTCTCCATTCTATAGGCTCTCTATTCATTTTCTTGATTGTTTCCATTGCTGTGAAGAATTTTTAGTTTGATACCATCCATTTATTGATTCTTGATTTTACTTCTTGTGCTTTAGGAATCTTGTTGAGGAATTCAGTTACTAAGCTGACATGATGGAGATTTGGGCCTGCTTTTTCTTCTAGTAGGCTCAGGGCCTCTCATCTAATGCCTAGGTCCTTGATCCACTTTGAGTTGAGTTTTGTACAGGGTGAGAGATATGGTTCTAATTTCATTTTGTTACGTATGAATTCCCAGTTTTCCTAGCACTATTTGTTGAAGAAGCTATCCTTTTTCCAGTATATGTTTATGGCACCTCTGTCTAGTATAAGATAACTATATTTATGTGGGTTTGTCTCTGTGTCTTCTGTACCATTGGTCTTCATGTCTGTTTTGGTGCCAATACCATGCCGTTTTTGTTACTATAGCTCTGTAGTATATTTTAAGGTCTGGTATTGTGATACCTCCTGCTTTGCTTTTCTCGCTAAGGATTGTTTTGGCTATTCTGGGCCTCTTATTTTTCCAAGTGAATTTCAAGACTGCTTTTTCTATTTCTGTGAAGAATGTCATTGAAACCATAATAGGAATTGCATTAAATCCTTATAGTGCTTTCGGTAGTATGGCTATCTTGACAATATTCATTTTGCCTATCCAAGACCATGAGAGATCTTTCCATTTTCTAAGGTCTTCTTCAGTTTCCTTAGTGTTCTGTAGTTTTCATTGTAGAGGTCTTTCACAGCTTTTGTTAGATTGATTCCCAAGTATTTAATTTTTTTCAGACTCTTGTGAATGGGATAGTTTTCCTAATTTCTCTTTCAGTTGATTCATCACTGATGTATGGAAATGGAATCAATTTATGGGCATTAATTTTATGTCCTGCTACTTTGCTGAATTCATTTATGAGTTCTAAAAGTTTTATGGTGGAGTGTTTTGAGCCTTCTAAATATAGAATTATGTTTTTGGTGAATAGGAATGGTTCAACCTCTTTTTTTTTCCTATTTGTATACCTTTAATTTATTTCTTTTACCTAATTGCTCTGGCTAGAGTTTCAAGGACTTTATTGAATAGAAATGGTGAAAGAGGACATCCTTGTCTTGTTCCAGTTTTTAGAAAGAATTCTCTCAATTTTTATCCTTATAGAATAATGTTGGCCGTGGATTTTGCATATACAGCTTTTATAATGTTAAGGTATGTTCCTACTATCCCTAGTTTTTCTTGTGTTTTGAACTTGAGAGGATGCTGAATTTTGTCAAATTCCCTTTCTGCATTTATTGAGATAATTGTATGATTCTTGTCTTTAAGTTTACTGATGTGATGAATTATGTTTATTGATTTCCATATGTTGAACCAAATTTGCATCCCTGGAATGAACCCCATTTGATTTTGTTGCGCTATCTCTTTAACATGTTTTTGTATGAAATTTGTCAGGATTTTATTAAGAAATTTTACATCTATGTTTATGATGGATATTGGTCTCAAGTTTTCTTTCCTTGTCTGATTTTGGTATCAGGGTGACACTAGCTTCAAAGAAAGAGTTTGTAAAGTTTCCCTCTTTTTCTATTTCATGGAAATATTTGAAGAGAATTGGTGTAAGTTCTTCTTTGAAGATCTGGTAGAATTTGGCTGAGAAGCCATCTGGTCATGGGCTTTTCTTTGTTGGTAGGCTTTTGATGGGGTCTTCAATTTCATTTCCTAAAATTGTTCTGTTTCAATTTTCTCTATCATGATTCAATTTGGGTAAGTCATATATTTCTAGAAATTTGTTAATGTCTTCATATTTTTTATTTATTGGAGTATAGATTTTCAGATTAGTTTCTGATCATTATTTGTATTTCAGTGGTGTCTCTGATATTTCCTTTTTCATCACAAATTTTAGTAATTTGAGATTTCTTTCTCTTTATTTTTGTTAGCTTGGTTAAGGTTTTGTCAATTTGCTTTTTTTTTTTTTAACAAACCAACTTTTTGTTTTGTTGATTTTTAAATTTTTTTGTTCCAATTTAATTAATTTCAGTTCCAATTTCCTGTCTTCTACTGCTTTTTGGTGTTGATTTGTTCTTATCTTTCCATATATAATAACCTAATTTTTGAGATGTAAAATTAGGTTATTATTTGGTGACTTTTTATTTTTAGTTCATACTTTCTTTATTTAGGTTTTGTTTGGAAGATCTGTTGAGTAGTGAGACACATGTGTTAAAGTCACCCAGTATTATTGTGTTGTGGTCCATTTGATTCTTGAACTTGTGAAGGTTTTTTTTTTTTTTTTTTTTGACAGTGGAACAGATGTTCCACTGTTTGGTACATATATATTTAAGATTATTATATCTTGTTGAAGTATAGTTTCCTTGTACAGTATGAAATGGCCTTATTGATCCCTTCTGATTAATTTTGACTTGAAATCTACTTTATCTGATGGATAGAAATCCCTATTTGTTTATGAGATCTATGTGACTGATAAATTTTTTTTTTCAATTCTTTTGCTTCCAGTCTGTGGTTGTCTTTTCCTATGAGATGAGTCTGTTAGAGTCAGTATATTTTTGGGTCTTGTTTTTTTAATCCAGTATGCCAGTATATGTCTTTTGATTGATGAGTTTAGGCCATTTGCATTCAGTAAATTGAGAAATGATTTTTATTGTCATTTTGGTTTATTTCTGGTTTTAAGTTTGAATTAGTTTTTCCTTTGATTGACTATTCCTTTAGTGTAGCTCTTCCCTTTGCTGGTTTTCCCTCTTGTTTTTCATTTCTTCTTCATGAAATATTTTGCTGAGAATGTTCTGTAGTACAGGCTTTCTAGTTGTGAATTCTTTTATCTTTCATTTATCATGGAAGGTTTCTATTTTATCAAAAAATCTAAATCTTTATTTTTCAGGGTATAGGATTCTTGGTTGGCATCCATTTTCTTGCAGAGCTTGGTGTATGTTATTCCATGGCCTCCTAGCTTTAAGGTTTGGGTTGAGAAATAGCTGAGATCTGGATTGGTTTCCTTCTAAAAGTAATCTGTTGTGGCACCCTTTAAAATTCTGTCCTTATTCTGTATGTTGGGCATTTTCACAGTAATGTGCTTTGGTGTGGGTCTGTTGTAAATTTGATTATTTGGGGTCCTATATGCCTCCTGTGTTTGATTTTCCATTTTTTTCTTAAGGGTTTGGGAAATTTTCATGTATTATTTCATTGAAAATATTATGCATTTCTTTGGATAGTATCTCTGAGTCTTCTTCTAGCCCAATAAATCTTAAGTTTGGCCTTTTTATGTTATCCCGTATTTCTTGGAAGTTTTGTTCATGGTTTCTTAACATCTTTTCTTCATGGTAAACTTTATGTTCTAGAATATATATTTTGTTTTCATTGCCTGAAACTCTGTCTTCCAATTGATCTGTTGTTTTGGTGATGTCTTCCAACTTCCAATAAATTTTTAGTTTGGTTTATTGATTCCTTCATTTTGAAGATTTATGCTTTTTTAAAGTCTCTATTTCTTTATTGAAGTGATCTTTTGCTTCCTGCACTTTCTACCTTACATAGTCTTTTACCTGGCCAATGAATATTCTAAACTCTTTCTCTGTCATTTCTTCCACTGTGGTGCTGATAGATTCTGTTATTGAATTATATTGGTTTGTCTACATATTTGACAATATGGTTTGAGACAGTATAGATTCTACCCAGTGGACTTCTAGGGACTCTGAAGTTTTCCAGAACCTCATAGATTAGGGGGAGATGGATAATAACAACAACCAATGGAAATAGTTTACAACATCAAACCAAATAGTTCCTGCTTTGGCATCATTCTATGTTAGTTATCACAATAAATAGAGATGATATGATCAGCTATTTTACCCACAGTAAAAACAGTAAGTTTATATATGGATTTATAATTTTAAGTTATGAACAGGGATAGAAAAGAAGTAATGTAGGATGTGATGTTTGTGTGGGAAGAAGAGAGAAAATAGAATTAGAAAACAGGATGAGTGATAGATCAAGAAATGTTGGCTGTTAGTAGAGGAAAGGAGAGAAAGATTCTAGGGAAACAGTTAAGTGAGACAAAAAATTATAGAATAAACATTGAAAAATAAATAATAAAAGTAAAAATAAAATTAAGAGTAAGATCGTACAAAACTGACATATTCTAATCAAACATCTTAGTCCTTAAAACATTGATCAAAGAGAAATAAATACCTTAAAAAACTTAGGAATGAGAAACAAATACAAAACAAAACAAATCAATAAATGGGTATGGATATGTATAAGTGTTCAGGAACCGTTCAGGTAAAAATTGAACAGTGAGTAGAAAAAAAATTAAAAAATACACTAAAATAAAGAAGAGGATCTTGATGAAAAGTTAGGAAAATTTTCTTTTTTGAATTTCAAATATTCTTCTCAGGTATGTTAGGTGGGGTTGCTGGAATGTGATGGGAGATTCTTTATGTAGGACTCCTGGGGGCAGGGTTTAGGCTTAGTAAGCCTTGGATTGGTCTGGAGATTTTAAATCAGTTAAAATTTAAACTGATCTGGCAGTTGCTGGGCTGGCTGGGAGACTGTGCCCTAGGAAAAACCCCTGGGTTTCACTCTTTTGGTGGAGGGGCCAATTCTTCCTCAGACACTAATGAAATCTATTTTTTTAGGACTCTTGGTTTCAGTCTTTGAACTGAATCAATTCCTCTCTGCCCTTTAGGATTGTCAGCAGGGCATGACTTTCCCAGCTGAACTTTCAAGTGTCTGATCTTTATAAGCTACCATTCTGGAAGGGGAGAGGGGAAGCCAGGTGTGTTTTTCTCAACCAGCTTTCTCTATATAAACCCCACTCCACTTTTGATTTTCTTCTGGTTTCTTAGACACACACTATGCCATGTTTTGTGGGTTTGCCAAACCTATTTTTTGGGTTAGGCACAGTTGTCAGGATTCAGATCCCCTGGTGCCATGCCCCCATGCTGGAGCTGCAAAATGGTTCCTTCCTCTGATTTCCCTGATAGCTGGGAAAGACAGAGTTTCTTTTTCCCTCCTCCACACTATATTGTTGTGCAAGACATCTTTTCAGGTTAGTGGTGGAATATTTTTGATCTCTGGTCTCTTCATATCCATACATACCTCAGGCCTCCTAAAATTGAGGGTTCCTTTAATTGATATATCACCCCACTATTTTAGTGCAGGGGAGATAACGCCTGTTGGTGCCACTGCTGGCAGCAGCAGCAGTGCTGGGATTTCTTTATTTTGTTTTATCCATTCACCTGATTCCCTGATCTGCTTGGAATATCCAGAGTTAATTCCCAGAAAAGCTCCCCTCTCTCACCTTGCTAAGAAGCAGTGTGTCTAGATTCTTGGCTTCACACCAGGGAGTGACCAGGAAAGTTACCTTCTCTAATCCACCAGTGTGAGGCTCCCCCTGTGAGCATTTTCTATCAAAGAACTGTACACTTTATGTATGTTACTTGTTTTGTAATGAGAAGAAAATGGGAAAATATTTTCAACAGAGCAATTCTAGGCTGAATGAAGGAGATGAGTTGCAAATTGCAATAGACAACTTGTTGAAATGGTCACTGTTTGCCCAGCTGTACTGCTCAGAGGCAAAGCTTGCAATCTAAGCCTCAGCCATTCAAGAAGGAAATTCTTTCTGTAGACAGCTCACCCTAGCAAACCTTTATTTCCTCCTAGGACCAGGATCCTGCCTCCTTTGGAGCTGACTCCTTGCTGATGAATTCGTCCAGGCACTACCTTAACATTCGCTATACTTTATTGCCTTACCTGTACACTCTCTTCTACTATGCTCATAGCCGAGGGGACACAGTGGCCAGACCTCTTCTACATGAGTAAGTTCTCCCAACTCAGTGCAAGTGAGTGTGTGTGTGTGTGTGTGTGTGTGTGTGTGTGACTTGAGTGCCCATTGGCTATTTGTAAGGTTATTGCAGCCTATATATTACCATAGGAGTAAATTTAAGTATTTTAGCTTGCTCCTTCTGGGGAGAAAACTAGACTTAAAGTCTTGGGATTTGGGGGCTTTTCTTTGTTCTTCCACCAGCAAATTCTACATCTTAGATGTCATTTAAGATCTTTCATTCTTAGTTTCTTTAGTCTTTTTTTGCCCCCTGTGGTGCTGGGGATCAAACTCAGGGCCTTGCACATACGAGGCAAGCACTTTTCTAGTGAGTTACACTTCCGGTTCTAGAAGGTCAATAGTATGACTCTAATGGTTTCTCCTATAAATCACTATGATGCTAGGTCTCTGTTCAAGTTCTAGCAATAAGCCTGTGATTTGAAAGGAAATGAGAATATTATAAAGGATCTCTAGAATTTCATATTCTGATTTGCCAGCCAGTTAGCATCTCTGATTTAACTCTGCAAAGCGGGACTTAAGAGCCTTTCCTTGTCAGAATACTGTAACCTCCTTTATGTATATGGCAGGCATGTATCTGCATTACTGTATGTCCATTTTAGGTGTAAGTTTTCACTGTCTTCTAGAATTTCCTGTTAAAAGGCAGATTTTCTAAAAGTAAAATTTGCATTATTATTTTTTAGGTCAGATTTAGTTCCTTCTTGATAGTCAAAGTTCTAAAATACATTGGTTATTTTACTTTTTTTAAAAAGGAGGATGTGACAAATAGAATTACAGCCTGAGATCTATCTAGCATAGATATTAGAATAGGAATTTTTGTCTAACGTGAAGGAGTAATAAGAGGATACAGGGACTGGGGAAAGAAGATTTGTCTGGGGGCTGGATGGGGATAGAATAGGTGTTTCAGAATAATTTTGGATATTTGCCAGGGCCGTCTGAATGCTTTGGATGCACTGGGGGAGAGCTGCCAGGTGCATTGGCCCATATCTCAGTGATCTGTCTCATTGGTGTCTAGATTCTACAAGGACAGTGAAACTTGGGATGTGCACCGGCAGTTTTTATGGGGCCCAGGCCTCCTCATCACTCCAGTTCTGGATGAGGCAAGTGTTCTCACTGAGACTCGTTGTCCCTGCTTCTGTCTCTGTGTCCCCTCCAAACCCATTTTTTTCTTTATTCCAAACTCATTTTTAATATCTGTGGCTGAGTCAGCTGTGAATAGAGTATGCTGGGGTTCTGTAAGTGGGAAATGTGATACACAGAGTCTCTAGAAGTCATTATTTTTGAGCAAATTCTCAACCAATGTAGAAACATCTGCTGACAATTCAGCTTAAGTAGTGACCCCATGGTGTGCCAGATTGTCACAGCAGATTATTATTTGCTCTGTGATATGGAGGCAGAAGGGAGTAGTGACCAGCACACTAATGTCAAATTGCTCAGGATGTGATTGTCACTTCTATTATGTAATAAATAAATAAAACATATTTTATTCCCTCAGAGGCTGATGTAAAGGATAATATTTGTTTTAATTTTAGGGTGCAGAGAAAGTAACAGCATATGTGCCTGATGCCATCTGGTATGACTATGAAACTGTAAGTAACTTGGACTTTTTAAAACTTCTGAAGACCACAGTTGCAGCTGTATAAACAAGATGACTTCGTAGAAAAAGAAACATCCATCCATTCACTGAAGAATATTTCTGTAGTGTTTTCCATAATTTCACAGCAAAGCCTAGATAATGTGAAACTAAGTAATATAATATCAGTCATGATGGAATTTGAAAAAATATTTTTATTCAACAATAAGATAAAGACTTATATGGTGTCTCATGATCAAATTAAAAAGGACTAATGGGCAATTTGAGTTTGGTCAGGAATCAGATTCCTGTTCAGAACTATTGGGTTATATAATATATAATGATTGTTTGTTCCTCACCAGAGAACAAACAATCTCACAAACCCTCAACTAGCCATGAAAAATGTTGCTCCTAATTTTTTTATTTCCTTTTTTGATTGCCTGAGTATATAGTGACAGCTAAATGGAAAAGAGAGACAACGGATAGATAACTCAGCACACGGGTGATTAGTGCAGGCTCTGGCTCTTAGTAAGGCCAATGTGTTTGACTATCTTTCCGCCTCAGGGGGGCCAATTGAGATGGAGGAAGCAAAAAGTTGAGATGGAAATTCCTAGAGACAAAATCGGACTTCACCTTCGAGGAGGCTATATCTTCCCCACACAACAGCCAAGTACGACGACTATGGCCAGGTACAGCATGGCTGGGAACGTCCTCAAAGGGAAGCCTGACAAAGCAGGTCATTTCTGTCTCCATATGTTGACTAGAGGATGCTGAAGCACAGAGTGGAGTGAGGAAGAAAGGGTCCTGAGGCACATGTGTGCATGTGTGTCTGACTTGAGGGGATTTTTAAGTCTGTCCTTGGCGTTCCCTTGGCCTCTTCTCAACCTAGAGCTGCACCTAGAAAGATTTTGAAAGATCTTATCCCTGCTTCTTCTTAAGTTTCTCTAAATACACTGGCAATTAGGCTGGCCAGCTTTCCTGGGATATTGCAGTTTTAGCATTGAAAATCTCATGTCTTAAGAAAACTCAATTCAGGGCAGGCCAGGTCAGCTGGTCACCCCACCTTCTTTGACCTGACCATCTATCTATGCATGGTTCTCAGGTTTTTGCCTCATTCATTATCACTTATAGATTTGGAATTACCCGTCTATCCTCCTATAACCTCAGCTTCCCATTACTTTCTCCTACTGAGCCATTTCTTTCTTATGATTCAAAACTGGATTCAGAAACTTCTTTCTTCTATAAATCTCGAATCTCCCATGCTGTTGATTTTTCTGTTTTTGATTCCAAAAGTGTAGTCTTCATCTATACTAAAGAGATGTACAAATATATTGTGACCCTGAAATTATTAGCTTATTTGTTTTTAATAATCTGGGAGTCCTTTAGAGGACACAAACCTGTCTTTTTCTTTCTTTCTTTTTTTTTAAAATTTTTTCTTTTAGATATACATGACAAAAAAGTGTATTTTAACATATTATACCTACATGGCATATAACTTATCCTAATTAGGATCCCATTCTTGTGGTTGTACATGATGTGGAGTTTCACTGGTGGTATATTCATCTATGAACATAAGAAAATTATGTCTGATTCATTCTATTCTCTTTCCTGTTGCCATCCTCCTCCCTTCCCTTCATTCCCCTTTATCTAATCCAGTGAACCTCTATTCTTACCTCCCCCAACTTATTGTATGTTAGCATCTATATATCAGAGAGAACATTTGGCCTTTAAACCTGTCTTTTTCTTTGAACCTCCTTTATTACCTTAATTTTTCAGTTATAGACTTTTTAACGAAAATATGCCTAAATCCAACACCAGTTGGTTTTATTTTTATAATTGTTCAGCTTCAGGCTCTTCTACACATTGACACCAAAATTGTCTTTCTCACATGATAATCTTAACTTGTTTCATCCCGGCTTAAGTCTGAACCTTTCACTAAGAGACTGCTGAAGACCCATCATAGTCTGATTCCAAGTTAGCCTTGATAACTGTATCTCCTGCTATTTTAGTACACATACAGAGCAACCATACCCCAAATGCACTACTCTACAAACATAGCCATCTATTTTGTTGCATTTGGGTATCTGTACTTAATACTCTTTCCAGCAGGCCCAGGACCTCCAGCATGCTAGGCAAGCCGTTTACCACTGAGTACACTCCCAGCCATTAGGTACTTATATTCTTTTTTTGTCTTTGTTGTTTTTATTAGAGCATTATAGTTATACATAGTAGGTAGGTTCATTTTGACAAAATCATACATGCAAGAAATGTGATTTCCTCCATTTCAGTCCCCATTGCCTCACTTCTTCTCCCCACTCCTTCCTTCTAGTCTCCTTCTTCTACACTACTAGTCTTCCTTTTGCTCATTTATTTATTTATTTATTTATTTTGATTGGTTCTTTCTACATATACATAAAGATGGAGTACCCTGTATGGAGTATAGTTATATGTTCACATGGTGTGATTTTGTTGAATTTGTTCCACATTTCCTCCCTCTACCCTTCCCCCTACCCTCCCTCTCAATCTCCTACTCCACTGATCTTCCCTATGTCTTTATGATATCCAGTTCTCCCTGTCCTTTGTCCCCTTCTTTTCCTCTAGCTTCAACATATGACTGAAAACAAACATTTGACCCTTGCTTTTCTGACTCTGGCTAATTTCACTTAGCATGATGTTTTCCATTTTCATCCATTTATAGCAAAAGCTATAATTTCATTCTTCTCTATGGCTGAGTGAAACTCTATTGTGTATATATGACACATTTTCTTTGATCTATTCACCTATCGATAGGCATCTAATTTGGTTCCATAATTTGGCTATTATGAATTGTGCATCTATAAACATTGAGGTGGCTATATCACTATAGTTTGCTGATTTTAATTCTTTGGATAAATTTTGATCTGTTCTTTTAGATATACATGACAAAAAAGTGTATTTTAACATATTATACCTACATGGAGTATATAGATTTAGAATTCCCTATTCATCCTCCTAAAACCTCAACTTCCCATCACTTTCTCCTACTGAGCCATTTCTTTCTTATGATAGTTGGGAGTGGAATAGCTGGGTCATATGATGGTTCCATTCCTGTTTTTTTTTTTGAGGAATCTCTTGTAGGATCTCACTTTATGTTGCTTTCCAGAGTGCTTACACTAATTTGCAGTTCTACCAACAATGAGTATATCTTTTCCCCCACAACCTCAGCAGCATGTATTATTTGTATTCTTACATTTTCAAAGATCCAAGATAAGCTCAGATTTTATCTGCAAGTAATCTTTCTCTAACTCTTTTGGCAAAGGGAATGGGACCACTTTTGACTTTCTAACTTTAAAAAATATTATTTGCTCCTTAGAAGATTTTTCTCTTTTCTCCTAAATATTGTTATATATTTCAACCATAGTCATTTCATTCTCTATCGGAAAGTTATTTTATCTGAATTCCTTAGAGGAATATACACCGATAGTTAATTATTTCTGCTGAAAATTCAATGCTGACTTATACCTTTAGTATTTAGTTCCCAAATCTTAAGGTCACAGATGTGTATCTAATTCCTCCACAGGTGAATTGACTTCTCTTCGGTTGTAAGGCAATTGGACTATGGTCAACTTGGTATCATATTAGTTCCCCATCTAAGATCTGGCTTCACATGGGAGTTGAAGATTCCACTTCTCTACCTTAAACTGCCAATCAGTGGCTCAGTATTAGACCTAATATTCATTAGCCCCAGAGAAATTCCAGGTTTTGCTTTTTGGATACCCTTTGGATTTAGCTCATTGTATTGTTTACCTGTTGTCATATTTGTCTCTTATATATAACCTATTTTTTCTACAGGAACAACAATGTTTCTTAATAAGAACATATGTTGCAATTTATCTAGGATCAAGTAATATTTTAAAGAGTGGGTTCTTTAAAATATCTAGTCTACCATCCTTCTGGAAGTGTCATTCTGGACTCCTGTAGGATCTCACTTTATGTGTCACTGTTCATTTTCTGCTTTGGTTATTTGGTGACTATGTCCAATCTTTGTTATAATATGGAAGGTCAAAGAGGAGGTCACAATAGGGATTTATTCTCCTAGATTAGCAAGGACACCCAATACTTGCACTGTGAATGAAAGCAGGTGATTTTGTTGGTCACAGAACCTGACTTATGCAGTGGAGGCTAACATGTGAAAGAACACACAGGGAATATTAGGCCAGGAAGGCATACCTGAGACAATGCAAACCAGGATGGAGTACAGAGGTGTGGCAACACGAGCGGATGCCCAAATAAATGCTTTCTTTCTTCCCCTTTCTCTATATCCAGAACTTGCACCATTTCTTTGAGCATTATTTTGTGTTTCCTGTTCTAAATTATAAGGCAGATAATTGGAATGTTTTGGTTTTCAATCTAAACAAAATAATAGTAAGTAATCAAATAAGGGAAGTTTCCATGATGTAAATGGACATTATTGTGTGTTTTTGCTTCCTGAGTAAAAATGGCCCTTAGGCGGGGAAGAGTTTCTCCCTTCTGATGGCACTTCTGTAGGTTTCATCTCTAAAATGACCTGTTTCATTATTGTCTAGAATTTCTTTCTCCTCTAGTAATTTGTATCTAAGTAATAGTTGCAGTCACTGGTTTTATTATAGCTATTGCAGTGATTCTGATGCTTAAATTATTGTCTCCCACATGGATGTTTAATTATAATGTTTGAGGTACTTCTATCTTCTGTGACAGAAAGAATCACCTTCTAATTTGTCCTTTGTTTCAGAGGAAAGCAGGGCCATCTATTGCTAGTAACTTTTACTATTTGAAATTTGAAGAAACAAATCAGCAAAATTCTTTGTGACCTGATCTTTTTGTCTTACCTAGCTCTTATTTCCCACAGTCGAAGGAACCCTCTTGGTCTCATTATTGCCCTGGATGAGAACAAAGAAGCAACAGGAAAACTTTTCTGGGATGACGGGGAAACCAAAGGTGAGTCTCTTATGAGAATGTGCAATTTCCATTCCTACATCTTTTGACTCATGGCCCCTACTCCTGCTGGACATTCTAGTAGGGGCAGAGGGACTTGAATCACAAGGCATAGTAAGAAAAGTCACTTGAGATAAGAGTTGTATTTTGCCTGCACTGTTCAGAAGTTGAAGCCCACTTAGAAGAAAAACATGTCTCTCTCACAACTGTTCCATTGGCCAGTGATCCTAACAGGTTCTCATTTATTATCAGTGGGCACCTGGAAGATATGTTCATGATCTTCCTGTAATTTATTGGTAATATAAAAACCCTCTATAAACAAATGTTGATGATATTGAAAAAATACTTCTGTCAATGTGGCATATAAAATATATTTGTCAACTGTATATATATCTTGCTGTGTTTTTAACAGTATTATTCCTCACACTATGCTAAAAATTTGGGGGGTGGTAGCTTAGGACTTAGATTCCATGAGGCATATGACTTGAAAGTACTTGGAAAGAAATCTCTTCAAGGTTATAATGGGAAGAAGAAGGAAAATCAGCAGTTTGGCCTTGGAGCCTTGTTCACAATTTTCTTAACTTTGAGATGTAGCTTTTAAAAAAATTCTTTTTATTTATTTTATTTAAAAACACTTAATCAGCAAATAAGATTGAACATAATGAAGGTGAACAATATATACATGTACACATATGTATTTTACATATATATGTATACACATATATGTGCACACACACAAACACACACACTCACACATTGTGTAATGATGATCACAATGAAATTACTTAACATATTACCACCCATGCTGTACATTTTTTCTTCCTGGAACTTGTTCTTTTAGTTAAATGTTTCTACCCTTTGACCTACATCTTTCTATTTTCCCCCTCCCCTGCCCCTGGCATATTCTGTTTTACCCTCTGCTTCTGAGTTCAACTTATTTTAATTCTACATACAAATAAGATCATCCTAACTTATTTCTTTCATTATGATATACTTCAGGTTCACACATGTTGTCACAAAAAGCAGGACTGCCTTCTTTTTAATGTCTGAATAACACTCCTTTGAAAAATTAAATAATTATATATATGTATGTATATGTACACACACATGCAGATACACACACACACACACACACACACACATATATATATATATATATATATATATATACACACACACACACACATACACATACATATATACACCACTATGTATATATTACAATTTCTCTATTCATTTGTCTATTGATTGACACATTGCTTCCTTATTTTGGCTATTATGAAAAATGGTTTAAAGTTCTGAAACCACAAGTATTCTAGGAGAAAACATAGGGGAAAAGTTCTTTGACATTGGTCTTACAAGTGTTTATTTTTTAATATGACAATGAAAGCAAAGATAACAACAACAGCAAAAATATAGATGTGGCAGTAAATCAAACCTTTGCAAGGCCAAGAAACAACAGAATTAAAAGAAGAAAACCCATAGAATAGGAAAAATTATGTGAAAACTATGTACCTGATAAAACATTAATATAAAAATCTCCTGCACTCAATAGGAAGAAAATAAATAACCTGATTTAAAAATAGGAGCTGTGAGCATGTATGAATATATCATAATACATTCTAATTTTATATATAACTATAACATACCAACTAAAATAAATAAATAGAAGGAAGACTAATAGAGTAGAGTAGGGGGACTAGGGAGAGGAAGGAAGGGAAGAAAAGAGGAGGTCCTGGGATTGAAATGCAGCAAACTGTATTGTATGAATTTATGAATATATCAAAATGAATCCTACTGTTACATTTAACTGTAATGCAGTAATAAAACAGAAGTAATAAAAATAGGATAAGGATTTGATTAGATATTTTTACATAAAGGATACACAGTTGGTCAACCTTATAAGCAGAGAAATGCAAGTAGAAAATTACAGTATCACTTCAGACCTGTTAGAATGTTTGCTATGAAAAAGATAAGATGTAAGTGTTGGAGAGGACTTGAAGAAAATGGATAGAATCCTTACACACTGTTGGTGGAATTGTAAATTGGTACATCCATTATTAAAAACAGAAATTCCTCAAAATATTAACAACAGAACTACTGTATGATCCAACAACCCTATTTCTGGGTATATGTTCAAGAGAAATGAAATCAGTATTTCAAAGAGATATGTTCATACCCATGTTCACTGCAGCATTATTCATAAAAACTAAAATAAAGAAACAGCATAAGTGTCCACTGATAGATTAATGAATAAACAAGATGTGACACTTATAAACCACAGAATATTATTCAGTTGTAAAAAGGTAAGAAATCTTATCATTTGTGGCATCAATAATTAGCTTAAAAGAGATTGTATCTTTGGTGCAGTCCAGTCTGACTTGTCTCTTTTCTGCTTTTAGATACTGTGGCCAATAAAGTGTATCTTTTATGTGAATTTTCTGCCACCCAAGTGAGTATATTTTTATGAGTCTTAGGTGTAGGCTCTTGTCTACTATTAGCACTTTTGTGTAATTTTATTTTTAACTCCATTTGCATTGATGACCACAGGGTGAATACATTTCTAGGCATACCTTAACTACCAATAATTGTATTATAAATATTATCAAAAGAATAATGATAACTCAAAGCAGCTTTTTTAAAAATAATGTTTCCCAAAATGTTTGTGTGTTTGTGTTCCTGAAGTCTCCCTTCCCACAGATTTTATTAAAGTGTTTGTAGTCATTGAGCATGCATTAGTAGAGACAGCTAAGGACATTCAGAGCAGTGGGGAGCTACTGATCTAGGATGGAGCATTTGAGTGGCTGGAGAATCTGTGTTTTAGAGGCACAGCTTTGGGCTTCATTGTGCTATTTTGACTTTCAGAACCGCCTGGATGTGAAGATTTCACAAGCAACCTACAAGGACCCCAATAATTTAGCATTTCAGCAGATTAAAATCTTTGGGACACAGAAACCCAGCAACGTTACAGTGAAACAAAATGGTGTCCTGAGTCAGACTGTTCCCAAGGTCACATATGACGCTCAGCTGAAGGTAAAAATCCATTTGGTGAAGTTGTTTTTCCGGAATTCTTCATAGTATCTTGGTTTTCCTTCTTGCCAAGGTTGTGTGGATTCCTGAAGGACCAGAGCACTGTGTGGAGCCTGTGGTGGGGAAATCAGAGGGCTGGGAACAGAAGTGCTGATGAGGTGGTGGGCAGAGCTAGTAAGGACAGGGAAGCTCCACTGAGCAGGGATGAGGCGATATGGTCTTTAATGGTCCCATTTTCCCCCCGGCCCCTCAGTGTTCTCCTCTGTTTCACTGGCATCACTTTCAAAGATAAAGTTATAGTGGACACAAGGAGAGCAGAGTTAGAACAGGTCAGAGGAAATGGGAAAGAGGAAGCTCATGTCTGGTGCTGAAAGGTAAAGGTGGGAGGAAGGAGTCCCATGCATTCAATATTGAAATGACTACTTTTTAAAGACTTTATAGAGATGAGATGAGTAGAATCTCCCTCCAATACATATATTTTCAATAACCACTTGAAGACGAGGTCTTTGATGATCCTATCTGATGACTGCTTCTTTGGTTAAATGATAATAATAAAATAATTTCTCATCATTTGTGATGAGACCTGTCCATCCTGTGCATCCTGTAATCATTTTCTCTGATGCCTAGTGTTATGAGGAATGCTTTTTCCAAATGGTCCTGACCATGGGGACTGGCAGGTGCTTCTGGCATTAAAGCTGCTGGATAAACATGGTTTGTGAGGACCTTCCAAATTTGGGGAAATAAATAAATTAGATTCTACTATCATGACATATTGATGACATTTGACATTGGTCCTGACAACACTTATTTAGCATGCAAACATTATAAAGTTAGAAGTAAATAGTATATCATTTATGTATATAACAAAGTGGAAGTCATATAAAGGATGTATATGTGAAAATAAGCTCACTCTATGTTTGCCAAATAACCTTGTTAACATAAGACAGAAGAAATTTCTTTTTTCTTGAATGTGGGTGGTAAGAAGACATAATTTATACACAAGAAATAATTGGGAAGGGGCTTGGCAACTAAATGAACTTAGGACAAATTTTATCTGATATCTTAATTCATGCTCAAAGCTTACTCCAATAGTTGAGTCCAGTGCTGGATCTTGAAAAATGGTGTATCCTATAGGGATTCATCAATTGCAAATGACAGAGCACAAAAAATTGTAACAAATTGAAATTTTCCCCATTTGCAACTAGTAGTTTAGAAGGTGGACCATTGCTGGCATTGGTTCAGTGGCTCAAGTTTGTCACAATTGAGGTCTTGTCTTTTCTTGGGACTGGAAGTGATTGCTGAGTTCTAGTTACTATGTACCGATGGTGGGACAAATTAGGGTAAAAATGGAAAACAAAGAGAAGATATAAGGTGAAGTGGAAGTCCTGTAAATCAAAAGAAAGAGCCCCCTAACTAGCAACTTTCAGTGAACTTGAACTTACTATTTCATAACCATCACTGTGCTACATTGATCTTTCTCTTGGGAACTTAGGATTTCTACACTGAAACAGAAAAAAGGGACTATTTTATATAAGGAAAGCAAGTAGCAGTGTATTCCACAAATGGCCATCATTTTTCTAGAAAGAACTTTTTCCTACTTATCACACTCCAAGTTGAGATAGCAGATAAGGCAATTCAAGACAGCAAATATTCCTCAATTATCAGTCTGTAAATTTTGTGTAACTCACATAGCTTGTCTTCACTTTTGGAAGGACATAAGTTTAGATAGAAGGAAACGCCTGTGATTTTAGAGACTGAAGTGCCAAAGTAAGAAGATCATTTCATTAAATTCTCTCATACAGTCTTATAGTGATTTTTAAATCTAGGCATTCTTCCAAGTGGAGTTGAGGGTAGGATTAGTAGTACAGGGATATTTGAGATGATTTGAATTGGGAGACTGAAAAAATATGATAATCTTTAAAATGTGATCATATAGTTCCAGACAAATGAGAACAACAACATTAACTATAGAAAGTGCTATTTAAATAAGAGGAAAATGTAAGAAAAACATAGAAATGTTAAATATTTTACATGGTAAGTGTGATTTCCCCCCCCCAAAAAAAAAGATTTCAAATTTTGGTCATCTGGGTTGGAGAAATGAAGAGACTGGAATGTTAGCAATTAAAAAAATGCAATGATTTTCCCAACTCACCAATTTTGCAGTTGTTACAGCTGAGATCCAAAGAATGGAAATAATTCATTGAAGATCCCAATGAAGAATGGGAATGAAAGTCTGGGCCATATGATTCATATTGCTTTGTTCTTTCTAAACCTCTAGTCCAATGGGGAATACTGGTTTGGGGAGTGGAGGGCAAGAGATAAAGGCAATTTGGCAATACCAGAAGAAATCCAGTGATGAAACGCAGAAGGGGAAGAGAACTCAGGGAATGAAAGAAAGTGGTGTTTTATTTGATCTCATTCTTTCCACAATATAATGCACAAGATTGTGATAGAATAGTAATATTTGCCATATTGCTACTAAATATATTCCTTTCATTTATATAGCTCTTTCCATATGAATTACATTCAAATGTTACTTGGATTGTTGAAAGTCTGGTCTAGTACTGATATGTGTTGCTAAAAATATTTAGAACTTGCCAGGCCTTTGTTCTGAGGATATTTCTTTATGTGTTTTCCACTCCTTCAGGTTGCCATCATCACAGAGATCAGTCTTGTGCTGGGAGAGGAATACACAGTGGAGTGGAACACAATCATCAGAGATGAAGAAAAAATAGACTGCTACCCTGATGAGCATGGTGCTTCTGAAGCAAACTGCATTGCCCGAGGCTGTGCCTGGGAGGTAACCTCACTGAGGTGTTGATGGACACCCAGATCTTTAATCTTAGGCGGCAATTTCTTGAGCATAGCCCTAGTACCCAGGTGTGTACTTCAACTCCATAGAAACAGGGCTTCCAAAGAACCTGGTCTTGAAGATTAAGTATGGATTGAAATGGTGTATTTTTAATAAGTATTTTGCTTTGTGTCTAGAAATTTACTTTTTGTCAATATCTTATTATATGTACATGAAAGAATGATGTGTTGGCTCCATCTCATACAGATTGCCTTCTCTGATTATTTCTATTTGACAACTCTAGGACCACCTGTTGATCTACAGTCTCAACTTTCCTTTCCAGGAATCCAGTTCTGTTGGAGTCCCTCATTGTTATTTTGTCAATGATCTGTACTCTGTGAGCAATGTCCAGTACAACTCCCATGGGGCCACGGCTGACATCTCCTTAAAGCCTTCTGTTTATGCCAACACCTTCCCCTCCACACCTGTGAATCCCCTCCACCTGCAGGTGACCTACCATAAGGATGAAATGCTGCAATTTAAGGTAAACATGGTACTTTTGTCAGGTACTGAGTAGGCCCTTTTTAGTGACATTACATTTTTTTGGTCCATAATAATGATATACACACAAAAAACATAATTTTATCGATTCTATTCCTTTTTCTGAGTTAAGTTTAGAGTCTTAATTTAAGATTACTCTTTTAAGTTTCATGCCATAGTAAACAAGATCATTATACTGTTAAAAATGCAATGAGAACTCATTGATAGACCAGTTTAACCTGTTCTAGTTTTCATTTAGAAAATGTTTGGGGCTACTCTCTGGACAATAGTTAGACAGACAAGACACTGAGAGAGAGCTTTTAAGGTTTCCAGTTGCTTGGGTTGGGGTGGGGACTGAGCTTTGACTAGTAGAGGACAAGAGAAAGAGAAGAATAGATATCTTTGAGACTCAAAGTGGGGTTACAAGATCTGGGAACCCCAGATCTTGATGCCCATACTGATAAGGGAGAGGGAATCTTGGACAATGTTTATCATCTTCTTTTTCACATCTGTGTGGGTTTTGTGACATTAACTGAAGTGAAGATTTCCGAAAAGGTTTATACTTGGACCATATAAGACTATACAAAATGATAAGTTATTTTTTGGGTACTATATTTGAGGTATCTGTGAAATAAGTACTGAAGTACAGTAATTTTTCCCCTTATATGGGGAGAAACTAGTTGTTGTTATGTCAGTTTCTCTATTAAACTTTAACCTTCTGGAGAGCTGGAATTTGGAATTTACTCCTGTTGCTTCTGAAATCTAACAAAGAAACTCATGGATAGTAATCATTGACAAGTTTGTTGAGAGAATAAACAAAGGGATCATACCAATGTGCTGGGCCTAAAAGGTTTTGCACAATCTGAGATTAACTTAGAGTCTGAGTTCTTTTACATATTCTAATTTAGGGAAGATGTTTTGCTTTTTTTTTTTTTTTGTTATCAGAGATTGGACTCAGGGGCACACAACCACTAAGCCACATCCCCAGCCCTATTTTGTATTTTATTTAGAGACATGGACTCACTGAGTTGCTTAGTTCCTTGCTTTTTTGCTGAGGCTGGTTTTGAATTTGTGTTCATCCTGTCTCAGCATCCCAAGTCACTGGGAGATGCTCTTTTTGTTTGTGTCCTCACCATAGTATTAGCCTGTAGAAGGTACATAATGGGTCAAAATAAATAAACTTGCTCATGTTCTAGGCTTTAGTTGTGCCTACCCCACCTCTCAACCATGCAGTAACTCTGTCCAACATATTTGCATCTTTTTGAGTTCATTTTAATACTCTGTGTTTTGTGTTTGTTGTTGCTTTATTGTCCTACATATTTTGTTGGTTCATTACAGTTGTACATAATGGTGGGTGTATTTGTCACATATTTGTACATGCACACAATATAACAATAAATTTGATCAATATCACTCTCCAGAATTTCTCCTTCCCTCCCTTCCTCCTACCCCTCAACCTTTTTTCTCCATTCTACTTATTGCCTTGTGATTTTCATGAGACTCTATTATAACTTTCTAGTCCTTTTTCCGTTCTAGCTTCCATATATGAGAGAAAACATACTACCCTTGCTCTTCTGAGTTTGACTTATTTAACTTAACACAATGTTCTCATGTTTCATCCGTTTTCATGAAAATGACGTAATTTCATTTTTCTTTATGACTGAGTAAAGTCCATTGTGTATATATACCATATTTTCTTTATCCATTCATCCATTGATGGCCATGTAGTCTGGTTCCATATTTTGGCTATTGTGAATTGTGCTGTTTTTTTTTTACATGTGCATGTATATGATTCACTATAAGATTAAAGTATGATAACATTGATTCTTCAGGATAATTACCAAGGAAGTTTTATAGATGGGTCATATGGTAAATACATGCCTTGCCTTTCCTAGTTTCTTCAGTGTTGTTTTTTAAATCATTAATGGATGCTGTATTTTGTCAAAGGTTTTCTCTGCATCTGTTTTGATGACCTAGTGATTTTTGTCCTTAATTCTATTTATGTGATATACCACATTTATTGATTTGTGTATGTAAACCATCCTTGTATCTCTGAGATTAAACTAATTTGGTCAAGATGTACAATTTTCTGAAGATGTTGTTGAATATATTTGGCTAATAATATTTTCTTAAGCATTTTTGTACCCAAGTGATATTGGGATCGTAGTTTTCTTTCCTTGATATGTCCTTACCTGGTTTTTGTTGAGTATGAGAATGGCATCATAGAATGACATTGCAAGTATTTCATCCCTTTTTATTTCATGGTATAATTTGAAGAGCATTGAGATTGGGTCTTTAAAGTCAGGTAGAATTTAGCTGATAATCCATCTGTTACTAGGCTTTTCTTTGAAGGCATCTTATTACTGCTTCTATCCCATTACTAGTTATTGGTCTGTATAAGTTTTCTATGTCTTGATTCAATTTTGGCAGATCATAAGTGTCTAAAAATGTATCGATTTCTTCTAGGTTTTCCAATTATTTCCCATTAGAATGTAAATTTCCCAAAACAATAACCTTACAATATTCAGGTCATTTCTTGTGTCTAATATGATATTATACTAGGATATATTTATCCTAGGCACTCACTGCATCAATTTGTATATCATTTCTGCAATTGTCTGTTTATTTATATCAAAAAGAGTTCCTGGGGGCTGGGGTTGTGGCTCAGTGGTAGAGTGCTTGCCTAGCATGTAGGACACTGTGTTCAATCCTCAGCACCACATAAAAATAAGTGAATAAAATAAAGGTATTGTACCCATTAACAACTTAAAAAAAAACAAAAAAAAGAGTTCCTGTATTTGGGAGGAAACAATTCTGAAAAACTTTCAGGAAATCACATCCCCTTAGATAGTCACACACAAAAATAATTCAGAAATCATTTTTAAATATAGCTCTGATTTTGGAATAATTTTCAAGTAGATGCCAATGTCAAAGGAACCAGAGAGTGTAATGGAAGCCTTAAAAATGAATATGACAGACTCAGAGCAAATTTTAAATCTGACACTATTCTTTTATGTGTTAAGTCAATCTCAGTTATCTTGAACTTAAAGAAGTCATGAAGGATAACATCCAGACATATTGTCCAAGATGTCATGGTTCTGCTAAGGGGGTGGATTTTAGGAGTAGAATTCTTGCCTAAATTATATTTAACAGATAATTATTTTACACATTTATGGTGTTAATTGTGATATGTGATCCATATATGCATTCTGTAAATTCATCAATTCAGAATGAGCAGGTCATACATCAATCAAACATCTATCATTTGTGTGTGATGAGAACATTGAGTATCCTTTCCTCTAGTCATTTTGAATTACATGATACAATATTGTTATCACCCTCTGTATAATAGAATACCAAAGCTCATTCCTCCTATCTGTATCCTTACCTAAAATTGATTTCCTCTGGCCTAGATTTATGATCCCAACAGTAGTCGGTATGAAGTCCCAGTCCCCCTGAACATTCCCAGGGCTCCATCCAGCACCTCCGAGAATCGACTCTATGATGTCCTCATTAAGGAGAATCCATTTGGGATCGAAATTCGCCGGAAGAGTACAGGCACTGTAATGTAAGTGGTTCCTCTTTTGATTTGCAGTTGTTGGGTACCTGTCTATTCCTTTCCAGGTCAAATGTCCTTGGAGATACCTGGCTCTAAACCTCACATTGCCATTTTTCAAGATCCATACATAAATTATTTCCTTCAGCTCTGTTCTTATGGGAATTGTTTGGTAGCTACTGTTTTAGATATTGTGTTTATAGATAGATGAATTATCTGGCCTAATTACAATGAAAATAATTTATCTGACAACATTAAAAGGAAGTTGAGACAGTGAAAACTGTCTGTAGGAAAATGTGCAGGATAATCAAGAGTTATAATGAGGCTATTGCTTTTGATACCATCAAGTTAGTTCTCATTAAGGAATTGACATTTGAGAAAAAGACATAGAAGAGAAGAAAGAACCTCCCATATGGATCTCTGAGAGAAGGGAAAGAATGTTTCTCATGGAGGGAATAGGAAGAGCAGGAACGATGAAACAGGAGGTAACTTGAATAGTGAAGGGAATAAACCAGTCCACAGTAGTAAGAAAGGAAGTGAGTGGTAGAAGATGAAACTGGGATGTTAGGTGGGTTGGATCAGATGTAGTCTGGAAGGCTTCATAGGGTGTTTTCATGAGAAGACACTGAAGGGCCTAAACAGTGTGGTGAAATGACACAATATACTCTTAAACATATCATTCTGGATACCTGCAGGAAGTTGTATGGAGTGGTAGCAGGTGAGATGGTAAGACATGACTGAATTTGGTTTCTTGGTAGAACTGAAAGAAGGGTGTGTAAGAAGGAACAAGAATATGAAGGGCCACTGCTGGGGTTACTGCAAGAATATCTGTGATTAATCAGACAGACTTTGTGTTGAGTTAGGAGATGAATGGATTCTCGGTTGTGGCAGAATCAAAGTTTCCAATGTCCTTGAAAAGTCAGAGTTTTAGTGAAATAAGCCAACCCCCAAAACCAAAGGCCGAATGTTTTCTCTAATAATCAGATGCTGATCCATAATGCAGGGAGGTAGGGACTAATGAAGGAACTTTGGATTGTGCAGAGGTGAGTGAGGGGAGGGGATTGGGTGTGAGGATGGGCAGAACAGTGGAGTGAGACGGACATTTTTATCCTATATACATGTATGATTACACTGCCAGTGCGTTCTGCACCATGTACAGCCAGAGGAAGGAGAAGTTGTGCTCTATTGTGTACAATGTGTCAAAATGCATTCTACTATCATGTATTATAAGTTAGAACAAATTAAAAATAAAAATTAATTAAAGAAAAAGAAAACCAACATTTGGAAGGCAATAGGCAAGGTGATTTTCTTTTCTGAATGTACCCTTTGTGTGTGTGTTGCAGTTGGGACTCTCAGCTCCTTGGCTTCACCTTCAATGACATGTTCCTCCGCATCTCCACCCGCCTGCCCTCCAAGTACATCTATGGCTTTGGGGAAAATGAGCACACAGCCTTCAGGAGAGACTTGAACTGGCACACGTGGGGCATGTTTTCCAGAGATGAACCCCCCGGGGTAAGCAGACAGTACGATGGATCAGTACTCTGCCTCTTTCTTGCCATATCATGGTCACCTTGTGCTTCATGAAACCAGACTCAACTTAGATTTTTTTTTTTTATTCTTTTGGGGTCATTTTTCATGTGTGTTTCTTATTTATTTAACTCATTTCAGAGAAAAGATCAGATCATTTAGTGAACAAATTTTTCTTGAGTTACATTCTCAGGCACAATGACTTCTAACCTTCTTCCATTTCTCCCCTGTGACTCTCAGTACAAGAAGAATTCCTATGGCGTCCACCCCTACTACATGGGACTAGAGGAGGATGGCAGTGCCCATGGAGTTCTCCTGCTGAACAGCAATGCCATGGGTAGGATGGTGCCAGGGCTCCTCTTAGTTTGTATTCAAATCAATTATCTTGTGTAACTGTAGAATTTATTTGACCTATGAGCATCCTGATGTCAAAAGTAGTATCTCGAGTGTGGCAGTTTCTTTTTATGTTAATTTTGGTCCAGTAGCATGGGACAAGTTTAAATCCAATTTTTGCTTTGGCTACACTCACCTAAGAAGGATATCAATCCTAATTGAATCCCGAATATTCTGAAGGTCAGTTGGTGATAACCAGATACATTATTTACATTAATTATTAAGCTATGAGTCAGAGAACTCATTTGGTGACTATGAATATGGGAAGAAAATATTTTAAATATAGGGATCAGGAGAAAAATCAGGAGTCTGGGAAAATGAAATGTGTGTAAAATCTGGTGAAATCTGAATAGGCTCCATGCCCGAGTTAATATTTTCTTAATGTCAGTTTTCTGCTTCTATAGCCTATAATGGTTATGTGAGCATTGTCATTGGGGGAAGCTGGGTGACGTATACTTGGAAACTCTTAGCATTAATTTTCAAACTTTTTGTGAGTCTTAACTGATCAAGTCAGTATAACAATTTTAAAACAACATAATAAGAAAACATCATAAAGTAATAAGATATACCAAAGGAAAACATGCAGAGATGGGACCCTGGAACCCCGTAGTCTTTTAGTGAACTTCTACAATACTGGGTGGGTAAGAGTACAGAATACCTTCTCTTAATACTCTATAAGGCAAGAGATAAAACATATAGATTTCAGAGGTAATTCCTCACCCTGAAGGTTTCCAGCTTGGTTGTCATTTGTCACTTTCTTATCTTTTCAGATGTGACATTCCAGCCCACGCCTGCCCTCACATACCGCACCACAGGGGGAATTCTGGACTTTTATATGTTCTTGGGGCCAACTCCAGAGCTTGTCATCCAGCAGTACACTGAGGTAGGAGGGAGTTCATTTGGTAATCATATATTTGTACAGCACATCCTAAATATTTTAAAACCTGTATTCATTAGTATAATGCTATGTGATTACTGGAATTGTTGTTGTATCTCAGAGACAGGCATGTTACAGATTCAGGACAAACGAAAACTTTCCAATACTTCTTATATTCATAACCTAATAATTTCAGGGTAGCAGGAGTAGACATGGTAAAAGTGGCATGCTGAGTAAAGTGGTAGTTGGAGATGCTGGTGGATTGATAAAGAGATAAAGGATTGCAATATTGGTAGTTGAAAAAGAGGTTGTGGGTACAGCTCTTGTGATGGTGGACAAGATGGTATGGGGACTGTGATGGTAATCATGTTTATGGGAATGGTGAAAGGCTGATGAAGGGAATGGTGATGGTAATTGTGGTAGTGTGGGTGATGGTAGATCTCTTGATGTGACATTGATGGTGGTATTGTAGGTGGTGATATTGGTAGTGGTTATGATGGTGGTGGTAGTGGTTATGCCAGTGCAGTGATATGGCAGTGAAGGTAATGAGTGTAATGGTCACGGTTGAGGTGAGTGGTAATGGTGGTGGGGATAGTTTTGGTGGTGATGGTTAAGTGGTAGTCATGATGGAGAGGTGAAGGTGGTGGTGGTGAATGTGGTGGTAATGATGTGATGATGGTGATAATTTGAGGCCTGATGGTTATGTTGGTGGTGATGGGTTTATGTTGATGTGGAATGGTGGTGACAGTGGCAGTTGTTGGGTAGAAAAACTTTAATATAATACTACAAGCTCTTACCTATTACTTACTACATATTAGAGCACTTTACATTTATTAACTCATTCAGTCTCATAAAAATGTTATGAGACAAACACTAGTATTATCTTCAAGTTACAAGTAAAGAAACTGAAAACCTAAAATGTTTACTTAAATTTGAACAAGGTCACAGAATCAGCAGGACATGGAGCCTTTGTGCAAAACAAGGCATTTCCCCCATGGGTTCTATTCTTCTCAGCAATATCCTAGGTACTTCTAGGAAAGAGAGCAAATTTAGATTTTTCCAGTATTCTAGGAGAAGGATCTCCTTTCTAGCAAGCTTTCTCAAGGTGTCCCAGTGGTTTTGCATCTGCTAAGGTTCTCTTTCACTTTTAATTTGTTGATATTCTAGCTTAGAATAGTATATTCTTATTATTTTGTGTATACTTTTAATGTGTCTGCTCTTATAAAGACTAAAATGAAGTAGAATGAATCTGACTTAATTTTCCTATGTACATATATAAATGTGCCACAGTGAATCTCCACATCATGTACAAACACAAGATTGGGAACCTATTTATAGGTATACTTCATGTTTGTATAAATATGTCAAAATATACTCTATTGTTGGGTAAAACTAAAAAGAACAAATTAGAAAAAAAAACTAAAAAAATCCATTGTTAGCAGACCTGCCCTATGAGAAATCAACATGAAGAAACAAAGACTACTGGCAAAAGTAAATACAAATATATATATATTTGTATAAATATATATATATATTTAATATATAATATATATATAATATATAAATATATATATATTTAAGACTAATCTGCTCTGCTCTGTCCATTTTCTAGGTGATTGGACGGCCTGTGATGGTACCTTATTGGTCTCTGGGTTTCCAGCTGTGTCGCTATGGATATGAGAATGACTCTGAGATCGCCAGCTTGTATGAGGAGATGGTGGCTGCCCAGATCCCTTATGTATGTCTAAGTCATGGTGCACTGGCTCTGTGATTTGTAGCTAACCCAGGCATCCCTGTGTTTGGATATACTTATTGGGTTTTTTTGAGGTTTTGCAAAGATATAAAGTGCTTTTTAACATGATGCCACACTGAGCCTCATCTGAGCACAGTTATACAGAGGGGAGCCAAGGTACATGTTATGGCACTTGTGACTATCAAAGGAGGTAGAGCAGACTCCAGGACATTTTCTGCTGTAGCGTGCTTCCTTGAATTGCTTTTACATGACTTGAAGACATTTATTCTGAAAGTCTATGGTTCCATAAGAATAAAATCTCCCTCGACAATAGTTTGCTTTAATTGAAAAACTTACCTCATTCTCAGATCATTGTGTATGTAGCACTTATGAGTGCTACAGTATAATGTGCCATCGGCCCTAAATTAATCAATGTCTGAACGTAGGGATCCTGGGGTAGATTTCTAGAAGAAATATACTTGGATACAAGTCTGTGCTTCCCTTTAGGCAAGAGCTGTGCAATAGTATCAGCTTATCCTGTGGACCAATTTCATATTTAATTTTATTGGACTTCCTTTCCTATGGTATACAATTGTTCCATGAATGGAGAGGACATCACTTGATATATGCCATTTTAATGAAAAAACTGTGTGTGATTAACCCCATGATTATAGAGTTTAAAGCAATTACAAGTTTTTCTTTGGCTTGTTTGTAGTATATTTATAATTCCTTATTTTATTATTTTATTAGGAGTGAATTGTTATCATTACTTTTTATGAACATGAACCACTGATAGTATGTCCAGCCCCTGCAATCATTCCTATGTGGCTGTTGACAAAACAATATTTCATCTGGTGATTTTATTTATCCTGACAACAATCCTTTCTGACAGGAATCATTATCCTAGTTTTGGCTGAGTAGGATATTTTTTTCTATGAGTGAAAACTTGAAAAATTAAATGATTTCTAAGGATCCATAAAGAAGAAATGATGGATCAGGGATTTGCAAGGGTAAAAGGAAGCCATTTGAATTCACCATCAGGAGTGGGAGTGTTTCTCCTCTGGGAGCTGGACTTTCAGCACCAGCAGCCACTGTTTCCTTGTGTCCTCCCCCAGGATGTGCAGTACTCAGACATTGACTACATGGAGCGCCAGCTGGACTTTACCCTCAGCCCCAAGTTTGATGGGTTTCCAGCCCTGATCAATCGCATGAGGGCTGATGGGATGCGGGTCATCCTCATCCTGGTGAGTCCTTTTGTGCCTGTGTGGATGGAGTGTGTTGAGAGAAGGACTGGGCTTTGGTGGAGAACCACTTTTCGTGTCCCTCTATCTATCTGAAGAACAGAGAAATCCAAGTACAATAAGAAGAGTATATTTCCAGGGGCTCCGAGAAACTCTAGAGGGCAGATGGAAGCTAGGGACCTCCCAATGAAGAAGTTCTTTTCTTCTGTCCCAATCTCTCTCTTAGTTTTGCCTACTAACTTGAGCTTTGCTTGCAGGACCCAGCCATTTCTGGCAATGAGACACAGCCCTATCCTGCCTTCACTCGGGGAGTGGAGGATGATGTCTTCATCAAATATCCAAATGGTGGAGGCATTGTCTGGGGAAAGGTATGATCTAAGTGGTGACTACTAGTCTCCATCGTGGGAGAGGGCCATAGTTTGTGTGTTTGTGTGTGTTTTACCCTTTTCTTGTGGATACTGAAGTCATTAGTTTCTATTTCTTAATTAGTATTTATTGATATATTGAGGACTTTGTGGATTTCACTTTTATATTGATAAACCTTACATGATAATCAAAAGTTTTATTACTCTGTAGGGTGTGGTTGACAGTCTTAGGTAATCCTATATAGGGTAAATTGCCTAGTACATTGCTGTTAAATATTTTTCTCTCTGCAGGTGTGGCCTGATTACCCTGATATTGTTGTTAACAGCTCTCTAGACTGGGACAGTCAAGTGGAGGTAAAAGGCTCTTTGTGTTAGTTGGGCAGCTATACCCACTATACTGTACATGCCCTACTTAAGAAATACATCCTGGGTGTCAGTGTATGCTGATGCCTTTACATACGGTATTCTTCCAGGTTGGGGAGAGTAGGTATTGCTATCTGTGGGATTTCTTACTCAAAGAGTTAAAATTATTACATTACATGGCTTTGGTCACACAATGTTCATTTCCAGTCCAGGCATGTCATATTTCAAAGGGCCATGGACTCTCCATTCCATGAAACCTGAAGATGAGCTCTCTGTTTTTAGAATTAGTATACTTCTTGCGATTGTCATTGCCTTGGGTATCCCTTGTAAATAGAATCTCCAACTTTTTTCTTAGTGATTGGGATTTTCCCTCTGCACATCTTTTTTTTTTTTTTTCATGGATGGTCTTCTTCCTCTTCACACTTATAATCTTGACCCCCACCTCCATCTTGCCTAGGATCTCTCCTCTGACTTTTACCTCTTGGTTTCTAGCATTTAATGGAAAGTTTGTCCCATCTTTGTAGTAGCTTCTTGCTTGTAATGGATCAAGGTGTCCCATGATTCCGACCTAGTTTCCTTTCAGCTTCAGAAGCATTTGTTGCTTGAACACCTACACGGTTTCATACTTGTCCAGGGAGCCTTCAGCCTGATTGTGAGGTCAAGCTGTGTACCACCTCCCTCAGCCTGTTTATCATCAATTGTGTGCTACCTGGAACAGGGCCCTCAGGGTAGGGTGGGAACTCATGTGGAGAGTTACTCTTCTGGACATCCTTACCGTATTTATCCCTTATTCCACAATAATTATTCTTTCTGGCCAGGCACTGTAGTAGGGAATGTGAAGTCTATGAACCTCCACAGAGGAGTTGGGAAGTCAAAGAAAAGGCCTGCTTCCCCAGGGCATCTTCAAGGGTTGAAGGAAAAATGAAGCAAGATTCTGTGTGGTTAGCAAAGAAGTATGAGTTTTAGTGTCTCAAAACTCTATCAAGATCATGGATTAAATCGCAGAAATATCAGCACTCTGGGAACAGAGCACAGCAACTGTGAATTATGGTGTTAGCCACTTAGCATTTCTGGACAAAGACCCTTTTGGGATCTTTTTCCAGGCAATATAAGATTCTAGCCAGTGGATGGATGTATAGGAGAAAGACTCTGCTTCCCAAGGATGAGACTGGCAGGACTAGGGCCAAATATTCATGCCTTTTTAAGACTAGCAATTGGTTGTTCCTAGAGAGAAAGATCTACGTTTAGATAGAACCATCATATTTTTTATGAGCAAGGCCTCAGGAATGGATACCTTCACACAGCAGTAATAACAGCAATGCTGTGATCCAGTGGTGTAGAGTTACCTGGTGCTGGTATCTGACCTTCAGGACCCCGGTGGTAGGTAGCAAAAGTCCTCTAGATGCAAAATGATAGACCCCAACCTGGGACCCCAACCTGCTTGGATATTGGACTGTGCATCTGTACATGGTGGAGGTAGATGCAGTAGAAGAAATAGAACCTGAACTTGGGTAAAGTGTGAAGATTAGAAAGAACGATTCAGACTCAATTTAATTTTTTTTCCTACTCTCCATATCTATTATCTATAAATGAATTGATCAACCTGTCTGTTCATTCATCTAATCATGTATCTGGGTATGTTTTTAGTAACAATTCAAGGGAGAAAACCTAGTTGACTTTTATAGAGGGTCACTTGAAGTTTGGCCATTCAAGTACTTCATGTGGACAAACAACTGATCATGGCAGAGACATTATGAGACATGTATTCCCTGTCTCTAGATGTTTACATTGGTAGATGTGTGCTTTCATAAGTTATAGGATTGGTTATTACCTTATGAATTCTATAGCTAGTCAGCCATTAGGCCATTCTAACTATGGTATTGAGGGGATTCAGAAGTCTGTGTGTCAGTGTGGGTTATCACAGTGCTATGGGAGCACCATGTGACATTTAGTGAGCAGTGACTATAGGTGCACATAACTCTGATAGCAGGGTGTTCTTTACAAATAATTCTCTTGCCCCAAGTGCCAATTGTGCCTTTGATGAGAAACACTTCATTAGATAGCTCTGTCAGGAGACTGAACAAGTATAAAATTTATATGAGACCTCCATGATGAGGCTGGCTATGTTGGGATTAGTCATGTCCAGGTCTGGCATTGCTGAGGGCAAATGATACAAATAGGAAAGCAAACAAACAAGCAAACAAATGGCCGAAAACCCATGGAACAGTAGATTTCTGAGTCAAAACTTGCATGTGTGATTCAGTAATTTTGGGAATTGAGTTAGGGTAGTATGCAGTGAACTGTGTTAAGCCATCTTGGGCCATTCCTACATATGTGAACATCTCTGTTTGAAGATCAGGGAAAGTGAGGACAGAAGCAATACAAGGATTAAATTCGAGAATGGCAGAGAATATTTAGTGTATGGGCAAGGATCATTCCAGCAGCATGTAGTTAGGTTATTGAACTCTGCTTGGCATAACTGCCCTTATATCCCACATAGGATGCAATTCTCAGCCAGGAACAACTGATCTTGGCCATTTTCTCTAATACCCACACCCCTCTCCTGTCATGGTTTCTGACATGGCCATAGCTGGAACTCCTTTCAATCCCTGTGAGCCAGATCTGTGCATGCCAATCAATTTCCATATTTTTTGGTGTTCCTTTTTTGTCTTTTACCTAGAAACATGAGTTTCTACTTGCCTGTGTTGTATTGTGTATGAGAGCTGGAGTGCCCCTACATCAAGTCTTTGTGTCATTCACTCTACCTCAACACCAGCATTATTGATCTCTTTGATACCTATAATATACAAAGAGGCAGCAATTGTTTTGAGACACACCAAAGTCTATGATGTGCCCTAAGCAACAACATGGAGTACATAGACATTCACTGATATTTGCTGCTGTGAGGTATTTGAGCCCAGAAAATTTATTATTATTTTCTTATTTTTATGGTAGGTTCTAAGGTGTGTATTGTTGAGAATCTAGAAATCAATTAGAAGAATATAAGACAAGGTCACTTCTTCTGCAAAGTTTAAAGTCTAGTTCCGAAGTGATTCCTTGGATCCACTTTTCATGCTCAGATGAAGACATCGCTCTTCCTGTTTGAGCGAAGAAGAAGAGATTTATTAAAGCGTCCTCCTTAAGTTCTCCCATAGTATGTTACACACGACTGCAATGCACATGTGGTTCTGAAGCCATAGAAAACACTCATGCATGCCAGTCTAATGTCATGAAATGTAATCTCTCCCCTTCCCCATGTTCCCAGTGGAAATGACACAGTACCATGCCACCAGTACGTTGCCTTCCCTCTAGTAGAGTACCTATGATACCTGCCCTTTCCAGCTACAGTTGCTCCCTGCCTCCTGCAGGATCTTCAAGGAGAGCTTAAGAAATGGCCAGATAGAAATTGGAGGCTGGGCATCTTGAAGCAGGGGACAGTGAGTCAGGGTGTTAATTTGATACCATTTATGATGGTATGAAGAGGAAACAGTTTATGGTCATTTTCAAATATGTGAAATTCATCCTTATTTTCTCCAATACCCTCAGTATATTTCTAGTAAACCTAGACAATATGTAGGCTCTGTTCAGACTAGCACTGTCTACCATCAAGTGGTACTTAGTATCATGTAGTTCTTAGAAGATGCCTGTTTATTTTCTAATGTATTTGTTTGGATGAAATGAATTATATTTTGTTTTTATAGGCATACCGAGCTTATGTGGCCTTCCCAGATTTTTTCCGTAATTCAACTGCCTTGTGGTGGAAGAGGGAAATTGCAGAACTATACTCCAATCCACAGAATCCAGAGAAGAGCTTGAAGTTTGATGGCATGTGGATTGTAAGTGTGTGTGTGTATCTATCATTGCTTAAGACTATATGGAGCACTGATACTTAGTAAAGATGATGATAATCATCCAAGAAATAATTAAAAGGTTTAGGACAGCATTTCTTCCAGTGGCGAGTGGAGCAGCCCTGACTCCCCTGTTACTTAGTACCCTACCAGAGTCCTGCTATCTCACTTGGAGGGTGAGAGGTGGAAATCCTTGGAATTTTGATTGCTTTAAGAGAGATTTTTTTTAACCTCTCTAGACAATAATTCTGTAGAGGTAATTGAGCATTCTGTCCAAATCTCACCAGGATTTGGTGAATCTCCCATGGCACCAATCTGTAAGGATTATTAGATGTTGGATGATTTATTCAATATTTTGTTGTCTCCAAATTTTCAGTAGGTAACTATCTTTAAAAGTAAGTGATGTCTGTGTCTGACATTTCTAGGATATGAATGAACCATCGAGCTTTGTCAATGGGGCTGTTCCTTCAGGCTGCAGTGATGCCAGTCTGAACCGTCCTCCCTACATGCCACGTAAGGACCCTGGGGTTCCTCCACCTGCACTGGCTAGAAGAAAGATGACTATTGCAAGAGCTCAAGAGGCAGAGATTTGCCCTGATCACTCAGGGAACAGATTCAGGGTTGCTGTGATTTATTGAGGCCAGAGACTTAAAACATTTGAAGCACTTTACCAGCAGTGTGTGTGCATGTGATTGAATTCCTTGGGCAGATTCTTGATTTGTCCAAAGAACACTGAATCTATTCCAATTTCCAAGTCTGTCAGAACATACCCAAGCTAACCATTTTTAAAGGAGGAAAGATTTTTAAATCTTTTAAATTTTTAAAGGAGGAAAGAATTTTAGTCCCTGGTTATAGAGGAAACTGTTCACCACATTGTTGCCAGGATTTGGGGTGGGAGGGGAGGGACCTGGAACATAATTATCATTGAGAGGCATGCCCCTGGTAATCTGTTTCCTCAAGTCGGACCCAACTGCCACACTTTTCATTACCTGCTAATAGCTTGCTCACCTCTGAATTCATCAATATATTAACATGTTGATATGGTTAGAGCCCTTATGATCTCCCAAAACCCCACTCAAAACGCTGCTGCTTTGGACAGCAGGCCTTCAATTGTGAGTCCTATGGGGTGTTTTAAGATCCAAATGCTCTGTGAAATTAATTAGTTTATCCACAGGAAGTTATTTCACAATTGGTAAAGTAGTTGGTAAAGTAGCTCTGTGTTGTGGAACCGATGGATGATTGAGGTGTTCTTGCATATATATCCAGGCTCCAGAAAATATTCTTTCCATGAATCTTGTGTCCTTCCACAGATGATTCAGTTTTCCAAATCTTAGTGCTCTAAACTGTAGGACAGGTAACCCTATCTTTTTCTTAGAATGATGATAAAATGAAATGAAATAATTTACATTCAAAGTCTAGCTTAAACCCAATTTGATTGTGTTTGAAAAGCCCTTGTCATTTTCCATATCTCAGCTTCCTCCAGGAAACATGCTGAGGTCAGGTTAGTCTTTAGTTCCAGAGTTCAGTCCCTTAAAGAGATTAAAGTCTTAAAAGAATCAGGGCTTGCTTTCACCTTCCTAAATCTTTTCCCTCAGATTTGGAGTCCAGGGACCGGGGCCTAAGCAGTAAGACCCTATGCATGGAGAGTGAGCAGATCCTTCCAGATGGCTCTCGGGTGCGGCACTATGACGTTCATAGCCTGTATGGGTGGTCCCAGACCAGACCCACATATGAGTAAGTGATTGTCTTCCTTCTGAATTGGCATAGGCTATAGGGGCAAAGGGAGTAATGGGCATAGCTTCCCTAGTTTTCTTGCCAGAATTCTTTCCAATGGTTAAAGAGTATTTAATTATAACCCAACAGGAATTGTTAAATATTAAATAAAAAAAAACAATCCTTCAACATGGAGCCAGACACTGTTATTAAAATTTGGAGTATGGATTAAAATCAGTCATAGTCTTATCAATGAGAAATTAGTAGGCCTAACTGGGAACAATCATAGGGTCACATCAGTAAGTATTACACAATATAGTTGTTTCTGTAATAGCATTAGTTACAAGAGGTCAAGGGATGGATATCACTCCCATGTGTATGAAAATGTCACATATATATCTGCATTCTTTTTTTATTCTTATACAGTAAATGGACCTTCTGTGGAATTAGCATAGTACCACTTTAAAACTGAATTATTAATACAAATTATTCCAAGTATATTCCATAAAGTCATTTTCCCGCTTCTTCTCAAATAAAGAAAACAAAGGACAAATAATAGCAAGATTTAGTGATTTTGTGTGTGGAGGGCTAATCCAGTGAATCCACAATGTGGTGAAATTCATTATTATAAGAGGATATACCCCTGCTAGGCATTCCATAAGTCAGTAGGGTCCTTTCCATTGCATAGATTTCAATATTCCCTCCAAATATATAGATCATATTTTCTCACCAAGTACTTGGCTCAAGAGCTATAGAGGGGGATGCTCTACATCCATTCTTCTTGCTATGTCCTCAATTCACCTGTACATTCCCCTCCTACAGAGCTGTGCAGGAGGTGACTGGACAGCGAGGGATCGTCATCACCCGCTCCACATTCCCCTCCTCTGGCCGCTGGGGAGGACACTGGCTGGGAGACAACACTGCTGCATGGGACCAGCTGAAGAAATCTATCATTGGTGTGTGGCTTCTTCCCAGGGGCCTCTGCTGCAGGGAAGGGAGCTGGTGTCCTTGGGAAAGGAGGGAGGAGAGGGCGGGGCACACACATGCCTCTCCTGACAGCCGTGGTTCTCATTGCAGGCATGATGGAGTTCAGCCTCTTTGGCATCTCCTATGTAAGTGACCTTTGCTCCTCCTCATCCCTAAGAGGACACTGACACCCGTGAGCAATCACCCACAGGCTGGTTTCATTTCCTCTGGTTTCAGACGGGAGCAGATATCTGTGGGTTCTTTCAAGATGCTGAGTATGAGATGTGTGCTCGCTGGATGCAGCTGGGAGCCTTTTACCCCTTCTCCAGGAACCACAACACCATTGGCACCAGGGTAGGACCTTCCTCCTTGCTCACGTGCTTTGCGTCACATGCTGTGCAGCCTTCACCTTGGAGTCCCAGTCCAGACCATCTTTGTTCCTGGGAGATTTTCAAAACCATCAAAGCGCCTCACAATTGCCAAAATGCACAGGATTATCAGAGGATTCTTTAAGTGTAGGAAGGATTGTTCCAAGTATATCCCTGAAGTGTTTTTTCTGGGAAAGTTCCATGAGGTCTCCTGGAAGATCCTCACTGACTATTATCGGACTATTCAGTATATTTCAGAGTGTCACTTGTAATCACCTTTAGGTTATCTGTGTGTGATGTACTTGGATCAAGCTTTCCTTTACCTTCTTTGCCCCCTAGGGTCCCTGGGTTGGGCTCTCAACACCTTTGCTTTTATTCCTTAGAGACAAGACCCTGTGTCCTGGGATGCTGCCTTTGTGAATATTTCCAGGAGTGTGATGGAGACCCGATACACCCTGTTGCCATATCTGTACACCTTGATGTTCAAGGCCCACACGGAGGGCAGCACTGTGGTGCGGCCTCTTCTGCACGAGTCAGTGTCCAGCTGGGGTCCTAGGGACTGATGCATAGTTTAGTTTTGTAGGGTGGCAGTTGATGCAAAAAATTCTTCTCAATGAAGATAAGATTTATTTTGTCATAAGCTCTCCAAACCACAGAGTCCACACTTTGCACTCTGTTTTATTCACACTATGTGTTATTGAGAAAGGCTATTTATTGAATGAAAAATATTTGAAATGATGCAACACAGCCTGATTTTTTTCTAATTTGTGCATGCACAGACCTCTGTATGTGGTGTAGCTATTGAAATAATTAAGGCCAAGTGAGTCGACATCATAAAAAAAGTATTGAGGGCCTTCCTTGCAGTTTGAATGTGCCATCTGGAAACAGTGGAGAATTTTTCAAGTGTCTAAACATATCTGGAGCATTTGTGATGTCAAGGTAACTTGACATGTAGAATATTGAAGTCTGTGTATTCCTGATCCATATAGGCAAAGACTAAGGATGACATAAGATGGAGTTGGAGGGGAGACTTGCCTCTGAACTTGAGTTGTTCCTTGGGGTCTTGGGCTGGGACTCTGACTGTGACATCTTCTTACCTTCCCAGGTTTGTGTCAGACCGTGTGACATGGGACATAGATGATCAGTTCCTGCTGGGTCCAGCCTTCCTTGTCAGCCCCGTCCTGCAGGCTGTGAGTATGGAGGCCTCAGATGTGTGGTGGATCCCAGGTGTGAGGGTGTGTGAATAGGGGCAGGAGAAGAAGCCTGGTGCGTGTAGATCCCGGGACATGGCTGCTTGTTCTACCTTTGTGTCTTCTTCTCCTTCTGAGCAGAAGTGCAGCACATAGGTGTTCTGGCCTCAGTTTCCTCTAGTTCCTGCTAGTTCCTAGAAGTTCAGGTTTATTGGACAATCAATTAAAAATGGTAGCCTTGTGATGTATTGAGATATCATTTTACTTTATTGATTAAATATGGAGTCCAGGGTTAGATGGGGCCTCAGTGTGAAGAATCCATCATAGTCACGGTCACCACGGAAACAGGCTTTCCTGAGAACCCCTACTAGCCCTTCCAGCCTTGCCTTGCTTTTGTGCAAGGTCCTGCAGGCAGCAAGACCATGTCTTCACTTCCTCCATGGAAGCTTAGGATTCTGATTAAAACACCAAGAGATCACACCTTCCTCAAACCTGTTCTGCGTCCAGAGTGTTCTCCTGATCCACATCTACCTCTAGGTGTTTATCTTCTAGAGGGATGTTCCCTTGAGCCTGTGAGCAAATGTGATTCTTGTTCGTGACTTCCTGGATCCCTAAGGCTTATGTGGAAGTCCCTTGTTTTGGGACTGTCAACTTTTTTTTGTGTTTTTTTTTTTCTTGTGTTTGAAATGTTGAAGAATGGAAGACTTCCTCAGTAATGCTGATCTTTAGGACTCTGAGACAGATGGGTATCAGCCACCACAAACTGGCTATCCCTTTCCTGCCTGTATTGCTTAATAGGTCTTGAGAACAGTGCCTCATGCTCACAGCTTGTTTGTGTTTTATTTTAGAATGCCAGAAATGTGAATGCCTATTTCCCTGAAGCCCGCTGGTATGATTACTACACAGTAAGTTTTTCTCAATATTTCTCTAACTTGCAACATGTAGGTACAAAGATTTTATATCTGATAGACCTCAGGCAACAAGTTGGCTGTATGGTCTCTTACAAGTGGCTTACAACCTTGTAGCCTCAGTTTTCTCTCCTCCACATGGGCCAGGTCCACTCTTTCACAGGAGCTTTGAGAAACAGCAAATCAGTTTCTCACTCAGCTTGTTGTGGGAATTCATGCCATTTATTACCTTTTCTTCTACATTCACTCTTCCCTGTTCTGAAACACTAGTAAGTTCTTAAAATTGTGCTATAGTTTTTACTTTTATCCTCCCCTACTGAAAAATCCCTAAATACAGAGAGAGTTCTTTCACCCTCTCTCTTCTTTCA